GGGTATGCCGCCACGAGCTTGACTTTCCTAGTTGCCAGCACCAGGTGAATGGCGGTTGCTTCCAGTTGCTGCAGACCCGAGACATTGTAATGATCATTGCCCCTGGGGACAAGGATCGCTGTGCCGCCCCCCAGCGTCGGGCGGTCCGTACGGTGGCCTTAGAGACAGCCTGCCGCTCAGTCCGTGCAATGGCGCCAGATGGCGTTGGGGCGGAGTTTCTCATGGCCGCAGCCGACGACGCGGCCACCACGGACCACGTGGTTCCACCCAGGGCCCAAGTTCTCCTGGTCTAGAGAAGGCTCCCCCCCCCCGATCATGGAGGCCATCAGCTGAAATGATCTTCCCCCCATGCCGCAGAAGCCTTCAGCCGAAACGGCCGCTCCCTCTCTGGGTTCAAACCCCAGAGATCCACCCAACCAAATTCCTTTGGACAACTTGCCTGACGGGATAACCTCCCATCAGCAGCAACAGATCCCAGTTTGAATGGTCGAGGCTCCCGCCACGACGAAACCCCGTTAGCGTTATCAAAATTTCCGTTTTTTATACTAAGACCGTTTACCATTTCCAGCAATGCGCCTTGTGCGCAGGAATGGTTTCACCTAGGTAGGGACGATGCTTGCGCTTGCGCAGACCTCCGCCCTCAGTTAGCTTTTTGGTTGGTTGGTTGGTTGGTGGAGCCTTCCAGTGCATAAAATATTATTCCCACTTTTACTTCACAAATTTTGCTACCAACAACAAAACACGTGCACACCTTTTTAAGTTACGATGGTGAAAAAACTGAAGTAGTGTGAATAACTAAATTCCATGATCCACAAACTGATAATGGCTTTAACTGGAAAGCATATAATGAATATAATACACACAAATCACCAAGTTCAGCTTGTTTTGTTATGAAGTCTCATCGCTCATGAAAATAAATAAGAATAGTTTGCTTATAGTATATAGAGTAATCTGAGGAAATGGTTATGCCATTACGCACAATCTCAAAATTGTCCTTTGAACATCCACAAGCGGTGACAACAAACCAACAGATGAAGAAATTTGTGAAGCAGACATTGCAGTGCTGCAATCTGGAGGCCAAAATTGGAACTACCAAAGAAGGTAGAATTAATAACTCCAAATGTATGTTACATAAAATGCATGAGGGTATTATGTCTATTCTGGTATGGAATGCTTACTGAAAATATTCGTATTCTGTTGGCTGAAGCAGGTAACATGAACATTTTAACAATTAATTACCAAGTAACACCAGATAATTTTCACACATTAATGAACAAAATCATGTGCCAAATAAAAATGTTGTTAGTTTGTCATATAATCCTGAACTGTAATATAATTCACACCACACCTTTCAGACATGTGCAAGTAACTTTAAGATGGCTGTTTCTCATGACGACCACCAAGTGCATGTTATCAAACTCACTTTTAAGTTATTTAATATATATAGAAACTCACACAAATGCCTGCCACAAAAATTCTTCCAGTAATTCAAAAAATACTCTTCACTCACTTTTAGAAGTCACTATGACAGATACAGTTACAAGGGGCAGGTTCTTACCACCGTACTTGCTTCGGTCCAGTAAACCATATGCAGACTGTCATCACTAAATGCGCAACGCAAGGTCTTCTTTAGGTCAACACATGTTCCACCAGTAAGACTACTTAAGTAGTTAATCAACATCCTCAACATGGTCAGCTATAGATACAAATCTGCTGCAGCACCTCCTGAAACATCATTTACATGAAATGGGAAGGGCCTCATTACAAGCTTCACTTTCACATATGTTCTGATTAGAATTTAACGCCTTACTTCACGCAGGAATTTTATTACAAATGTTTGTGCAAGTAATTGCATTCATTTGTTACAGAAAAGTCTCCACTATCAATCTTATTTTGGATATATTGTTCTGATTTTTAATTCTGTTATTCTAAATACATAAATATCTTATTTCTGCCTGTTTCAAGTGCGTAGTATTCCTTCAGCTGTTGTAAAATCACTTTATAAAAAGTAATTGCTGCAAAATACTTATTGTGCAGAATTTTTGATCTTTTTCTGTCCATAAGGCAGCACTGTTAAAGTAAAACATCCTATATATTACAACAAACACAATTGTTAAAAGTCAACAAATACAATCTTCTTCTGCTGATGGATGAAAAAAGGGTCTCCAAAACACTCAGATCCTGTCAAGAACTAATACTTGTTGCCCAAGATGATTTTATACAGTTCAATCGCCATGAGAGCTTCAAGTCATCAACAATTACAAACTTGGCAATAGTGTAGAATTTTTAGGTTATGTTCAAGAAATTGAACGTAGACTAAACTAAAATGAAGATGGCTATTTTTTCTGCACGGAACATATTGAATGCTCCATGTAAACATTTAATTGTGGTTTTTTGTGAAAAGGGTTTTGTGTCACAAATCGAAAGGTTTCTTAGTATTATAATAGAAATAACCGTAAAAATTGGCAGTCTAACCACGGTTCCGGAGAATCTGACGTAAATACGTCTCTGTATTTAAATTATATTTAGGCAATAAATACAATGAAATGAAGGGGGTTAAAACACTCGGGGGGGGGGAAGTCGATTAAAACACTTGACCAGCCACTTGGTCAAGTTTCCTAGGTAAAAACAATGACCAGTAAACACGACGTTCCATAGGTAAACATTGTTGTCGATTTGTTGATACATTTTCGTTCCACGTTTTCCTTTCACTTTTTTGCCGAATTACCCTTCCGTATAGACGTATTTACGTCAAAATAGTAAATATTCGATTGCTCAGAACTAATAATCGAACACACAAAACAATGAACACAATATACATACAAAAAAAGTGATAGTGGAACCACAGTTCCGGAGAATTAGACGTAAATACGTCTATACGGAAAGGAAGTTTATATATTGGCTTTATTCTAAGTATTTCCTTTATACCCGCTTTACAATTGAGTAAAGTTTGATTAAGACTTTGCTTATTTAACTTGAATTAGTTACGCTTAAGATGGGTCTGTGGTAGCTGAATGTAATGTAAAGTAATGAAATGTAAGGTAAGATAATGTAAGGTAACGTAAGGTTATTATTATTTAGTATTCTGTCTGACGACAGGTCCATATGAACAGGATCCTTCCATCCTTTTCTCGGACTGGGACCTGTTCATATACGTTCTTGGCAGATGATCCAGAAGTGGTTTGCCATTCCCTTCTTCTGTGTGTGAATGGTGTGTGAATGGGATGCCACGGAGAAACCGGGGAAGCCCCCGTGTTGCCTAGACCACGGCCTTGCCCAACACAAGTTATAAATTCGGACACCGCCGGGAATCGTACACGAGACCCCAGGATTACAAGGTCAGCGTTCTAACCGCTAGACCACCGTGGCTAAGGTAAGGTAAGGTAAGGTAAGGTAATGTAATGTAATGAAATGTTTTATAGGTAACAACAATGCTAAGTAAACAGATGGCGTTTCCTTGGTACCAATAATGCTGAGTAAACAATTGAAGTTTCCAAGGTAACATAACAATGCAGTTACACTTTTTCGTTTCACTTTTTGCCGAATGACACTGACCCGAAAATATAGACGTATTTACGTCAAAAAATTTCGGTCTGAAATGCATGCCAGAAACTTTGAGCCATATGAAAGCAAATATACATATTATCCATGATTGCTTCCGACAAGCCAGCGAGGAACTCTGCTACTAACGACATCTCTCGCGTATAGTGTGTACTTCGTTCTGGTAACTCAACTTCGGGAATGTATCCAAACAATCAACATTTGGAAACATCTTTGTTGATCTCTCGAACTGTTGTAAATAAACTATTTCTGTTTCCTTAGTTACACTCATTCCACAAAGTTAACTGGATATTGAAAGTCAACTTACATGATACACAGGAAGAAAGTTTATTGCATTCAAAAATATCATCTGTAATGTGGGATGCAGCACCAAATTGAGTTATGAAATACTCCCTGAGTCGGGTAAGTAATGTAGACGACACTTTTAATAGATTCATATTTTTCGTAAGCCTCTTGCATATCAGTATTTGGTTTTAACACTAGATTCTTTTGCATTCATATTATTGATACTATTCAGTTAGAGAGTGATGATTAACGCAACTTGGAACTAGGAAATCTGAATTTTGAACAAAGGTAAATTACTCACTTATATGAGGAAATTACATGGAACTGTAAACTTCAATTACTTGAATATAAATTTTATAACACAAAATTTGTAGAAACACAAATCTGTAAGAGGGAAGTACGCTTCGTGGCTTCTTACGAGAACTAATTTTTGCCAACGAGATTAGTTGCAAATCAGATTCTGGCAAGATTGCTCCAATAACTGGTGTAAGGAGTAGTTCTTTATAGGTTAAATCTCTGATCTATAACGAAGTACTTAAATGATATTCACATTAATGTAAACAGGGCAATTGTAAATTTAGAACAAAATCGAAATAATTTTTTTAGTGTACCATTAGAACGTTAGAGGTCTGTCAGATAAAACTGATGAATTATCAGTGTCTGTTAATAATGCACATTTGCCCCATATTCTGTGTCTAACTGAACATCATATGAAAGCACCAGAGATCTTACAGATTAATCTAGACAATTATACTCTAGGAGTAGACAAAACTGGCAAAGGGAGGAGCGATTATCTCTGTCAAAAAAGGACTTAAAAAATTCAGTATAGCTGATATAATGCATCACTGCAATGAACAGGACGTTGAATGGTGCTCTGTGCATCTAAAATACAATTTCTGCAGCAAGTACGTCCTGGCTGCACACAGAGCTTTTCGAAATACAAATCTTATACCCACAGCAGCAATTGAAATTAAAAATATAATACAATTTTTCAAATCAAATCAATCTTGTGATTATGAAGGAATGTCAACAAAGTTCCTCAAAAGCTGCGCAGACTACATTAGCACTCCCTTAAGTTAACTGCGCAGTCAATATATGTCAAAAGGAGGTTTCCCAGAATTCCTGAAATATTCACAGCTATTAAAAATATGTATAATGATAGTGTTGATTCCTCGATGTAATTTCTTTCCTGTAAAAATATATTATGTCAGATATCTCTTTAAGTAGCTGGTGGAACTGTGCATTTAATCTACTGTATTTTATTTGTGTTTTGACAGTCTACAACCTTGGCTTATGCCTATGAAGGATCTACGTGATGTAAATTCTTCTGTTCTGTTCTGTTCTATGATAACATTGGTGGAAAGAGTTTTCAAATGACAAACCAGTCTGTGGCACGCTGTAATGAGTTTGAAGTGTGAAGACAATTAAAAAAAATTCTTCTTTAACATTTGTCCGCTTTGGCAGAGTCTGCTTCTTTTTTTCCTCTCTTTTTGGAGGTTTGCGTAATCTATTTAGACATTTGATAGGACTCCTTTAACGGGTGATCAGCCCGTCGCGAGGCATCTACCTCTACACAGAGAGACGCGGACAAACATCAATGTCTTGACAGGGATTAGAACCTAAGATCCCAGTGTCCAAGCGGCACAGGGCCCACGCCTCAGACCACGAGGCCACTGTGACAGCTGTTATTTTGTAATGATGTAGACTCTAGAATGAGGGTTCTATAATTTTGACTGGACATCCGATTTGTCAGTGTCTAATGGACCTATCGCATCTTCTCTCTTCCAGGATCGTTTAATACCTGGCAAGGGCAGCCAGAAGACCCAGGAAAGAGACACCAAGGCCTGGTATGTATAGTTCACTGTTACTAGAGACAGATTCAAATTTATGCATACGTGGTGCATCAACTGCTTCGGTTAATAGCTCACGTATACTGAAGGTAGGCGAGATAGAGATTTGTGTCTGTGATCCCATGGAGAATGCCACTTCACTGTTTCAGTACGTCACATTAAAATCAAGTTTTAGAACCACATCATATGCTCTAAGAAAAGTTACTGTTGTGATATTGTGATATTCTGAAACTACCTGGTATTATTTCTGACTAAAATTTTTAAGTTTGTCTCACGTGGGTGCTGAGATGGAACAGTTAATTCGGCCCCTGTGGCCTTCTGCTTCATCCAATAAACCTAACAACGGATTAAATCATAATTAACCGTATGTGTTCAGCAATTATGAATGCTATTAGTGTTTTTAAGTCATACAACGGAATAATCCAAGCAGTGCCTAAGATAGCAGTAAAAAATTCATGGCATACTTTTAAGTACTCCACAATGGAAAGCACTCAACTAAAATTCTTGAATAATGTCCTATACATTTTTCCTATTGGCCTATTTTTCGCGGCGAATGAACTTCACTATAGGATTTATATTCCACTAGTGTCTTAAACATGATTTTCTTTCTCTAAACTTTGAAAAATTCTGTCCAGTGAAATTTCCATTAAAGATCCGACATTGCACTGTTCAACAATTGTTTGTATTGTTTTTTAAGTATGCACACCAAATTAAATTCAAATGCTACAGTAAATAAAACTTGCGGAGACCAGACGTTCACATCAAATATATTACTTCAGTCGATGTAAGCCTGTTATATATAAAGGTAGTCTCCAGTTTATTAAAAGATTTTTGGGGGGGGGGCCAAGCGATGTCCAAAAATTTTATACGTCAACGTGTCTGAGGGTAAACAGTAAATACAAAATATGTCCCCCTTGAAGAGATGACCCAGGGGGAATTATTACATTTTTCTGCTCCAAAATACAAGCACATGAGCGCCCGGTACTTATATGACTAAATGTGAACGTGGTAAATACACAAAAAAGGCCGCCTCTCCAAAAGATAACAACAGAAAAGTTGTAGGATTCTTGTGTTTCGTAAATTAAGCACTAGGTTCTCCATATAGCTTGGTACGTAGAAGAAAACATGGGAGACGTAGAGAATGCTCTTGTAGAAAAGATAAACCTGGAAAGCCGGTTCATATTATTGGTGACATGTTCAATAACGCACATACATAACAAATTTGATGCTTTAGAATACTCTACCAGTAGCCTGAATAATGCCTATGTGTTACATACTTAAATTTTTAATTTCTTTATTAGTGTAATTAGTTGAATAATCTTATTGTTATTTGTATTTAAATCTCTTACTCTATTCATGAATGCGTTTACGAACATCACGTAATTCTATTACGTACAGTTAACTGTTAATGTAATTGTTAATTACTTATCGAAAAGCAAAACGTTTAGTAAACCAAAACCTAATATGCACAGAAATTTTAATCAAATGTTTTTTGGATTTCGTGTTGAATTTCAAAGATCATTCCCACCATAATAATAATAATAAGAAGAAGAAGAAGAAGAAGAAATATGCTTAGGTACAATATATAGTCATTCCTCACAATAAATCTGTATACTGCATGTAATTCCACGGTGGTCTAGCGGTTAGAACGCTGGCCTTGTAATCCTGGGGTCCCGGGTTCGATTCCCGGCGGTGCCCGAATTTATAACTTGTGTTGGGCAAGGCCGTGGTCTAGGCAACACGGAGTTTTCCTCTGTGGCATCCCAACAATTACTCCATTCACACACAGAAGAAGGCAATGGCAAACCACTTCTGGATCATCTGCCAAGAACGTATATGAACAGGTCCCAGTCCGAGAAAAAGATGGAAGGATCCTGTTCATATGGACCTGTCGTCAGACAGAACACTAAATAAATAAAATACTACATGTAAGAAGTATTAAAACAAAATGTATTTCAGAAATAGCTGCTGCAATGTGTACCTCAGGAGCAAGGATTTTCCCAGGTACATAGAAGTAAATACCCCGTGAATAGATGGAGTAAAAATAATAATAAGTAATGTTATGAAACTTGTTTGACTGCAGGTCCAAGGTGAGAACTCCGCCTGGTACGATGTCATCATCAAAACAAACGAACGGGGAACATCTCCCTGTGATATCTTTTCAAATGGAACAACAGCAGACGAACAAAATGAAACAAGCTCACTGGTGCAGTTCATGGCCGACAATAGTCTTAACTGTGAATAAATCAGATGACATGACAATTGTTCAGAAGAAGCTACAAGACATCGATAAAGTCACTTCGGAAAGGGAAATGTCAGTAATTGGATCACAGAGTTATGAACATCTCGATAAGAAACTTCAAAAAGTGAACGAAGACAAAGCGTTGATGACTGAGATTGTGAAACTGAATGTTAAAATGGCGGGACTGACACTGCAGCGCCACGATGATGTGAGGAAAACTGAACAAACTATAGAAGATCTGAATAAGACTGATGAAAATATCAGTTCTGAAAATGAGGCGGTGCTGCTTACGATGGTGGAGCTGGCGCATCAGCAGGACATTGAAATGAAGAAAATTACGGAAAGTATAAAATGTCTGAATGACACTGTAGGCAGAATGTCGTCTAAAAATGCGACGCTGTTGGTTAAAATGGCGGAGCTGGCGCATAAACAGTACAATGAAAGAAACAAAATGGAGGAAAGAATAAAATGTCTGAATGACACTGTAGCCAGAATGTCGTCTGAAAATGCGACGCTGTTGGTTAAAATGACGGAGCTGGAGCATAAACAGTACAATGAAAGAAACAAAATGGAGGAAAGAATAAAATGTCTGAAAGAGACTACAGATAGGCTGTCGTCTGAAAATGATACTCTGAGGCAGGAAATCGAACGCCTTCGTAAATATGTTCAAGTTGACATGAACGTAATTGCCAGAAGTAAGGTAGCGGAGGATCATTTCTATGCGGCGATATTCAAGAACAGACAGGTAAGCATGATTTATTTTATTTATTTAGTGTTCTGTCTGAGGACAGGTCCATATGAACAGGATCCTTCCATCCTTTTCTCGGACTGGGACCTGTTCATATACGTTCTTGGCAGATGATCCAGAAGTGGTTTGCCATTGCCTTCGTCTGTGTGTGAATGGAGTAATTGTTGGGACGCCACGGAGGAAAACTCCGTGTTGCCGAGACCACGGCCTTGCACAACACAAGTTATAAATTTAAGCAGCATAGCCGGTCAAAAGTTGAGAGCGCGGCGGGTAGTAGAGTAAGGGGCAGTTCACTGGTACAGCGCGTATCGGGGCTGCAGTCCCCGCAGCCGGCTCATGGTTTCTGTATCCCAATCTGTTTCGTGTTAGTGTTAATGAGTGTTCAATAATTCTGTGTTCCGACTATTTTTTGTTATGATAATGACAATGACCAAAGGAAGTGTATCATATTTACAGCAAATTACTTTTCTAAATTGTTTTTGAGTGAAAAAAGTGATGTATAAAATCATGGCCACCCACTTCCATACATACAAGTAGTTAAAACATCGTCGAGCACGTATGGATTATCTCCTGATGTAAATTTACTTTTCATTTATTCATATTGTTATGTGTTGAAAAACTGTTTTGAATTTTTCCACTTGTGCAGCACTACCACTGCTTAGAATCACGATCCGCCACTGGTCGTCTGGTATAATTTACCGAAGTTTCAGAGAAACTTTGGGTGATGATGGAAGCACTAGCAACCACACTACAGAATGTTGGTTTCTGTTTTGCCAGAATTTTGTGCAGTAGCGTAGTTATGAATTCTGCACTACAGCTCCCCATACAACGTCCCTTGAACTAAGATTTTCATCCGTTCACTCCCCATTAAAGTTTGTTTTGGGACATTTAAGTTTCCCGTTTAAAGAGATACTCCACAGGGCAGTGTCTAGAAGCAGTTTGCGCAGAGTCATGGAAAAGTCGAGTAATCCATATTGAAATACACATTGATGTTCGCAAAGCAGCACATTCCGATTGCATTAATAAACAGACAATATCGCTATGTATTATAAATCAAGGAGGATAAGATGGGTGGGACACGTAGCACACACGGGAGAGATTATAAATGAGAGATCACTTATGAGACGTAGCACAGACTGGAGGGTAAAATTAAAATGGGTGTATATGGAGTGGCTTCAGGTGGCTCAGGATGGTTATTAGTGCTGGATGTTTGTTAACACTGCAGCGAACTTTTGAATTTCACAACAGCTGAGCGACAATCACCTTCTGAATGAAGGCTGTACTCCGCGGACTTCATTACCGGACATTTCTTTTGCACTTCCATTAGGGATAACGATGCTCTGCTGGATATTGACGTCATGTAAACCGGACGGTGGATGCTAACGTTTCGGAAAATCCCTGAAGATGGAGGCAGTACGCTTCTCCGAAACATCAGCATCTACCGACCGCTCCACACGGCGCCAGAACCCACCAAGTAACACCATCAACATTGTCACCGCCGTGATAATCTCAAATCTTGCATGAAGGACTTCTTGTAGCGCGTCCTTGGATACGTAAGGACTCGAAGATGGCGGTCACCCGATTTATCTGTTGTCCACAACAGTTAAACAGCCGAAACGTCACGGTTAGAATTCCGTAACTCTGTCAGTGCGATAACTGCGCATGCGCCGTGTCTGTCGGTGACTAATGCCAGACATTCTCCTCTTTTCCAGGATCGCGCTAAGCTTGGCGACAAGAAGTTCCAGGCCGCCGTCAAAGATGATCAGAAACACCGGGCACTGATCAAGCATCAATTGAACAAGAAACCATTGCAAAAAGGTGAAGAGGTCAAACTAATTAGACCCCCAGGTATGAGCGCTTCTAGGAAACGAGGTATTAATAAACCGCTGCGGCATGAATTGACTCATGAGAGACACGCAATAAGATGTTTGATATCGGGCCACTTCGTTCCTTGTGCCAACAAGACCTGAGCTAATTGGCTTTATAGTCTATTAGTATATTTGTCTATACACATACATTTATGTTCTATGTAATGGGCAGTTCTCTGTAGCATAAAAGATTTAATTTTCGTTATATTGCATGAATTACGTGAACATGCTTACTACTAATTACGTGACGCACTTTGGGAACGTTTGCTATTGACTGAGTATCAACGAAATATGTCAGTGTGGGAGAACAGAGCAATATTTTCATATTCATCATTTTTTATTTCTAAAGCATTCGTCTGTTATAAGAGGAATGGCCGTGAACTGAATTTGTTTATAAACAAATACTTGAGGAAAATGTTTGTTCCTAAGAACAACGAATTAAGAAGGCAAAAAAACATAAATCTTGTCTGGTTATGAAGATCTCTTGGTATACTGGGGGGATTGAAAGGTAGGTTAGGTTAGTTTAGGTTATGTTACACCTGACCGGGCATGTAATTAGGACGTAAGACCGAGGTGGACGTCAGATAATAGAATAAATACGGATTTTAGGAAAATATTTATGTTAGCCTGTAACATGAATGCAACTGGTTCAAGATGGTTTCCTAAGGACGGCGTCACTATTAACGGTGTTCAATCTTCGGGCTGCAGGCTACTACAGGAGAGTTACTTTCAACTGAAGCTATATCTAGCTCTCTTAAAACTGCAAAAAGTACATTTTCACTCGCATTCTGTAGAGGCACCTTTGAACATTGTTATAAAGTATCTAGAAGTGCTGTAAACGTGGATGAATGTCTAATATTCATTGCTTTTGCACATTTAGATGCTAGAAATGTATATAAGGGAGACTACAAGAAGTTCCAGGACGCCGTCAAAGATGATCAGAAACATCGGGCACTGATCAAGCATCAAATGAACAAGAAACCATTGCAAAAAGGTGAAGAGGTCAAACTAATTAGACCCCCAGGTATGAGCGCTTCTAGGAAACGAGGTATTAATAAACCGCTGCGGCATGAATTGACTCATGAGAGACACGCAATAAGATGTTTGATATCGGGCCACTTCGTTCCTTGTGCCAAAAAGACTTTTGCGAATGGTAGAGATCATGAGCTAACTGGCTTTATAGTCTATTCTCTTTTTATAAAGTACTTTGTGCTGTATACATTGAGCATTAAACTTCTCTGATTACGTGGGTGTCCGTAATTTTTGCATAATGAAAGCACGTGGGTTAAAACGGGCTCGGCACTAAATTAGCATGTAGAGGCAAGGAAAGCACAGAGAATGTTTGTGAGAATTCCTGTGGTAAATAGCCACTTGGAAGACAAATGATAACATTAAGATGTGTTTTAGGGTCATACGTTATAAGCCTGTGTGGATTGGTAGTGACTGAGGATGGATTCTTGACGCAAGAGCTGTTATAAGGGACGTAGGCTACCGCCTGATATTAGTTGTAAATCAGGGAATTTATAGATCGTTTCATATTGTAAATATTACCTTTCAGTGGCGGCCCGTCCGTAAGACTTGCGGAGCTGCAGCACTACTTCTAATTTTTCAAAAATTAAAAAAATATTTCTTTTGTTTTTATATAATATGTAACACTTTATTTCCTCTATATCATTATTTTAATATTGCCCCTTACACTGTCATTGTCCACTAATCGGCTGAACTGACAGTAAGTCCGCGGGCGAGGAGTGCGAAGCAGAACGGGGCTATCATCCGGCTGCAAGTATTTCAGCGCGGCTAGCCGGTCAAAAGTTTTGAGCGCGGCGGGCGGTAGAGTGAGGGGCAGTTCACTGGTACAGCGCATTTCGGGGCTGCAGTCGCTGCAGATGGCTCATAGTAAACACGCTTGCCAGTTACCACGTGTTTTAGACTGGTTTTTGTACCACAAACTGTTTCGTGGTTATTGTTAATGATTGTTCAATAAATCTATGTGCTATTTTTTGTTCCGATAATGATAATGAGCAAAGCAAGTTACTTTTCCTAAATTGTCTTTGAGTGAAAAAGTGATGTAAAAATCATGGCCTCCTCTTCCGGACTTACAAATAGTTGAAACAATGTCGAGCACGTATGGGTTTTCTCCTGATGTAAATTTACTTTTCATTTGTTTATATTGTTTTGTGTTGAAAAAATTTCAAATTTTTTCCCCTTCCACAGAACTACCACTGCCCAGACTCACTGGTACCTTTATTGTTTTAAAGTACCTCGAAGTCTTATATATTTCATACATAATTTTTATTCCATTGCTCTTGGTACAATTGAATGCTTGATCGTGAATGCTGTAAAGGGCTGTTTAATTTGACAACTTCAGCGTAGCCCTTATCGGGAAGCTAGTAGTTGCTCAGTCAGCAGTGAAATATCCTGTGTTTCATAAAACTCGATCATTCATAGTCGTGTTCACCAAATCTAAATGCAGTCCCTGTCCTGCACCACACAACTCTCCTTCCTTAAGATCTGTATAATAATATCTTCCGCATCTACGCGTATGAGTCCATTTATCCCCTCAGGATTCCCAAAGAAAAACTTTAAATGCATTTCTTATAGCCCCATCTGTGCTAGATGCCCCACACTTCTCATCGTACTTCATTTTGTAATCCTTAAATTAATTACTGAAAGTAACTAATTATGAAGCTACACATTAAGCAGTTTTCTCCAGTTCCAACTGATTCACCCCTCTCAGCTAAAAATATTTTCCCACGCACCCTGTTCTCAAACACCTCAATCTGTGTTCTTCTCTTTCTGAGAGAGACCAAGTTTCGCACCCACAAAACACAAGTGTTCGTATATTTCTGTATGTACGTTTACAGATAACCGGCAGAGAGAAAAAGATCCTGATTTGATCTAAAAATATTTCATAAAATCCTATAGACGGTGACGGAGAGAGACCTTTGTTTGAGGTGGCATTCCTCCCTAATTTCAATAAACGGAGTGTTTAATTTGCGGATTACGTCGTTTACTGTGTAAATTATTTTACTAATACATATAAAATAAAGCTGTATTAGGACATGCCTGTAGTTATGATACTTTGTTACAGTCGAACCATGTTTGGCCCGCCTTCCAAGGCTGAATGATTTTGAGGCACTGCAACATCTAGGTAAAGGCGGTAAGTAGAAAATTCTGTTAATGCCTGGCAAATAAGTTCCGCTTATATAAAATGCACCTCAGTTTGTGAAACCATCTAGCGGAGGTGCACTAGGAACAATTACAGATGTTGCAATTATTCATAACTGCAGAAACATAAACATTTTAATCAACAGTTACAACTGTTAGTGTATTCAAATATCTATTATTATAAACTGATAAAAATAATTCAATAGAGGTCCTTGCTGCCTCCATCATCAACATCCTGATGATGGAGGCAACAAGGACCTGTCAAACGTCGATAAACTTTTACCAGACCGCATGGCGCGACAACCCAGAAGACAGCCATCTTATAACTCACCACTCTGAAAACCTAAAATCCTGCATGATAAATAATTGGAATCTTCTTAAACTCAGAGCCAAATCTTGATCAATAATTTTCTGCAGAAATCACGTATCAGAATTATCACGAATCTTTTCTTGCTTCAAAAAGTCATAATTAGCGGTTTAAGATTATTGGAAACAGCTCTGAACATTTTATGCCTGAACTAAGGCAATCAAAACATTTGCCAACAATATTCCTTTCCTGATGGCTCGCAATATTACTGAATGTCATCCTAGAAATGTAGTACCACAAATGGCAACCATAACAAACCATCATGTCTTTATCACAATGGAGTATAGGGGCATAGATACAGTCCACAGATCAGGAGAAAATCCCTGATAGGAATGCGATATACGCGCATGCGCAAGATTTCGCGGTGAGTGACGACCCATCCTAAAAGCATTCGTTTCACAATCACTGAACGAACAACAAACGACAGGCTTTCATGTGCTCTAATGGGTACAGCTTTAAGTTTACCTCACAGTGGCACAGTGATTTAATCTTGAATATTATCGCAACACCCGCAGAACACAGTACAGGTGCACTCACTACACGCTACTCTTAACTGCTTGATGTTTTCAGTCTGTGTAGTAGCGTAAAAGTATGACGTATCACACTTCCCACCAATAGCAGCCCTCTAGTCCAGCTGATAAGTAACATTCCCCCCGCACCGCACCAGAAACGACTTCCACCAGCAGGGCTTTTCTCGTGATCTGTGGACAGTACACATCCACGAACTCTAAACCTTAGAAGCAAATGCATGAACCACAGTCACTCATTTTATGATCCTCATGACTCACTGATGCGAGTCTTAGATAACCAGCCAATGAGGAGAACCGTAATTTTATCGCTATCTTCAATCAAATTTGGAAAGAAATATAACCTAGTTGTGCACAGATGAATCCCACATTTGTAGATAATATCTGTTTCCTGTTTTCTTTCCACATTAATGACATTTAATTTTGCACTGTGATAACACCATATGAAGTGTTCCACCATCACCATTTATAATTATGAGTTAAAGATAATCTGAATAAACAAAAGTTTTATCAGTGAATATTATGTAAGCAGTGTCCATTGTACGCCCACAAAAATTGATTTGGGTTTCAAAATTTTGCTTATTAATCATACAGTTCAGAGTTCCTGTGACTGGGACAAAGAACTTCCAAAGAAGATGCAACAAGAGTTAAAATTATGACAAAATCAGAAAGTTATGTTGGATTTGATCTTTTTTCTGTCATTCTGTAGGCTGTTCGTAGTAGCTACTTGAAAATACAGGCTGTAATCATTTGGAACGACATATATCACTATGGTGGGGAGTCCGTTTAGAATAGTAAGCCTATACAAAATGTGTACAGAAAACTTTCCTTTTCTTTTAGTCATGAACATTTTATAGTACATAAAATATTTATACAGAATTCTAATCCTTATGATGGTACAGTCTACAAATATCGGAGCTGATTGTTGAGCAGAAAGCAACACGGAATTTAACTTTGTACTGTTACAGGATTTGGAAAAGTTTACCTAGTTCGGAAGAAAGGTGGCATCGACAACGGTGTATTATATGCCTTGAAGGTGATAAAAATAGCAAACGGTGCATTGCGCAGTAATGAGCAGGATCTGTGTAAAACAGAACGTGCTATACATAAAAAAGTTTCTGGAGCTCCATTCCTGGTGGGACTCAACTATGCATTCGAGACAAAATCAAGGTTGTTTCTGGCCTTGGGTAAGTATTATTTATTTATTTAGTGTTCTGTCTGACGACAGGTCCATATGAACAGGATCCTTCCATCCTTTTCTCGGACTGGGACTTGTTCATATACGTTCTTGGCAGATGATCCAGAAGTGGTTTGCCATTGCCTTCTTCTGTGTGTGAATGGAGTAATTGTTGGGATGCCACGGAGAAACCGGGGAAGCCCCCGGAGGAAAACTCCGTGTTGCCTAGACCACGGCCTTGCCCAACACAAGTTATAAATTTGAGCACCACCGGGAATCGAACCCGAGACCCCAGGATTACAAGGCCAGCGTTCTAACCGCTAGACCACCGTGGCTAAGTACAAGTGAAAAAATTGTTCTTGGATCAACACTGTTTTAAGAAGCGATCGATTGGGTGGGATGATCAGTGGCGCGGAAGAAGGCTGTTTCTGGAAAACAAGACGCTCATTATTTTTAATAGGTACACGTAATAGAAAGGAACGTCCTTGTGTAGGTCCTTTACTTCAGGTACAGGACTAACTAAAACTATTAACCATTGTTCTTAATCATTGTCTTAAAAATATTCCCTTTGGGCATAACTCTCTTTATTTTGAAGTATCAGGCAGTACGGTTACATCTTGGAATGTATACAAGTATTTATTTGCCTCACCATCTTAAAACAACTGTACGAAAAGGAGACAAATCTTTTATGAATAATTACAGGTCTATGTCACAGCTAACCTCCTCCACTAAAGTCTTAAAAGTTTTCTACAATTGGTTTAGCCCTTATATGCATACTGACAACTTCATAGTTCCCGAATAGTTTGGCTTTAGGAAAGCTTTATCCGTAGAAAGTGAAGAACTGAAACTATCAGACAACTTACTGAGAGGTATGAACCAAAAAATGCATGTTTAAGGAATATTTTGTGATTTAGAAATTGACTAAGTCAGAGGTTCCCAAACTTTTAAACCTTGCGCCCCCCTTAAAACATTTCATAAATTTCACAAACCCCTTCCAGAACAAGTGCAAGCAAATAGTATAATTTTTTTTCACAATTTAGTACATATTATTCAATGCATTTAATTTAAAAAAGTATAATAAAATATACGCTTCATACCTGGATTACTGGGATGGATGTGCTTCTGTGAACATAACTTATCATACCGAGGTTGGAGTTTTGAAATGACCGCTCTAAGGTCGTTTTCCAGGTTCATCGTAGAACGATACTTTGTTTTGATGGCTGCCATTGCTGAACAGCCTCAATCAAGCGAAGGATGTTAAAAATGTTTCTCCATATTACGTTAAAAAAGTTTTTCATACAAACAACACGCTCCACCTAGAGAACCACTCGCGCCCCCCAGGGGGGGGCGAGCCCCACACTTTGGGAACCTCTGGACTAAGTAAATCATGAAGTATCTTATTGCCTAAATTATATTTATTAGGAAATGCTGTAAACTCATTTAGATCAGCTCCAAATTCCCTCTCCAACTGCAGAACAGTGACACATGGAGTTCCCAAATGGACAAGTTTAGGGCCTTTACCATTTATAACTTACGTACGTCCAAATGACATTCCTTCAACTATAAAAACTTTATGAGGACCCATAATATTCCCAGATGACACTTCTTCCGATGGAAGGAATGAGTCTTTTGACCCATTCTGAGACTGAAAGAACTGTTGTCTCCATCTTCTTCTTGGACGTCCAATGTCTCATCTTGCAGTAGGTTGATGGAAATATGTTTGCCATAGCAGTCGTTCAGGAGGCATCCTCTCTACAGAATTGAGCCATCTCTTTTGGTATTGTCGTATTTCTCCCACCGTTCGTTCAATGTTTGGTTGTTTTCTTATATCATGACCTCTCATTTTATCTCTTAGTGAAACTCCAACACAGATGTCAGAAATATCCTTTCGTCTTCTCTTATTATCCACGTTTTGGTCCCATACTGTAGCACATGCCTTGAAATGATTTATGCAATTTAGTGTTATCTTTTTCCTCGTGTTTTTCGCAAGTATCTTTTAATGTATCTAATTAACTTATTATATTTTTGCACATTGCCTTCTAGGCCCATATTAATTTTGTATATTGATATATCACCCTACATACTTAAATTAACTTGATTGTGCAATCACAATGTCATCTGTGACTAACTTTGCTCTTCTCATATACTTTCCTTCCACGGCCTGTCTTAGTTTTATTAATAAATATTCTCATGGTACATAATTTTAATGTTTTATTTAGTTATGTAACGTTTTCTTGTAAATGGTCTTCAGTTTCTGCCAAAAGTGCCTGCTTATCTGAGAATAGTATTGTGTTTATTTATTTATTGTTTTCCAGGTGTATAGTTTTGGGATATGTTGGTTTCCTCAGTGTTTATATCGGATTTTATGGATAATATGTAGATGAGTCAGCAAATGTAAAATTCTTACACCAACAGAAGACCTACACTGAAAGAATAATAATGAAAAACATGATTCAGATATTAAGTGGGGAATTTTGTGTATTTCGATGAATGTTTAATATTGTCAATATTTACACACTAACAGCAATGTAATTCACAATATTTCATTCCATAGATCATCTGCCAACCTAAACGCATACAAATGTTTCTTTTGATTAATTTCTGTTTAAAAAGTCTAGTAAACGTATTATCTGAGTTCAATGGATTTATATCATCACTAACATTGGCATACCTACTCTATAACATTGCATTTAGTAACACATTTTTATGTACATTAAATATTTATATTTTGTGAAACCTAATTAATATTTCAAATTATACTCATCTCTTCTTTTGCATTTTGATCCATTCAATATCCTTTGGTCAATCTGATTTACTGTTGGATCCATGGAAAATACTGGGTGCGGCAGAGGAAACCCATGTTTTTCGAATGGCTAGTACTCGGCAAGGAGAAAAGTGGGGGACTTCCGCCCCTTGCTAGTAGACAGCTTAGATGATGCAGTTTCAGTAGCCATGGCACCGTGGACCAGCGAGCATCTGTTGTTTGTCGTTGAAAATTATATCAAAAGTGGTAAATCCGTAATTGCCGTTCATCTCCCGTTTCGGTGATACCCCTTGACCTGTCCGTATCTTAGCATTTAATAGTTTATATAGAATTAAGTCTTGGTAACACAACCAGAGTATCAAATATTAAGATTGTTCGAACAATGGGAATATTTATAGTAAGGGGTAATATTTTAGGTCATCATTCAACGTGACGTCACTTCCCCAAGGTCGAGCTAGTTGTCTTCGACAGATAGGCAGTGCGCGTGTGTGTAGCATGAGAGAAAGGATGCGATCATGAAAAGTAAACTTGTCTGCATGTGCTGCCGTTCTTGGTTTGAAAAATTTCGGCTAACACGTGTTCTGTGGAGAAGTGTTAATACATTGTTTATTTTCTTTGTAAGAAATCGCTTTTATAGAGGAGATTGGTGTATATAGTAAGCTGTAAGTCCGTATCACAGTAAAATAACAGGACAGGTTGGTGTATCATTTACCACAGTTAGAAGGATGGGAGTATTATTTAACTTACCTCTCTAATATCGTGTGCATGGTCTTCCTTGGTTTGCAGGAAATATCTCGCAAAGAGATGTAGTGCAGATTGTGGTTTAACCCCGATTGGTGGAAGAATCAGTTGCTTCTTTGTGAACTTTCCTTCAGTTTTTCAACCTTCTGCAGAGCGCCATTTTCAAGCAACACTGATGTCAAATCGAATATGCAACGCACTGATCTTCATCGACCTGTAGTAGCAGTAACTGTCCTTACTCTAACAACGATTCATTATTATTGTTCCAGACTTTTATCCAGGCGGCGATTTGCGGACTCTGGTGAAGAAGAGGGCAAAATTTACAGAAAACACAACAAGACTCTACCTCGCTGAGATAGTCTTGGCCATAGACTACCTGCATAAGGTAGGTAATCATACTATCACAATATAGTCGTCTTCAACAAATTGCATAATATGTCGGTGTAAAACCAAGAAATACTTATACTGTGTAGCCACAGAATTTTTCCATTTCATTTCTTCACTATACGTAAAATCATTTTTAATTTCTATAAAAAATTTATAATGTTATAACTAAGGGTAATTCACCACCCACAACCCTGCCAAACAGAAACTAAACGAGCGAACTGTAATAGTTTACTGTCACTTTCCATACCGACATTTTCCTTCTCACCGCCACTTGAATTCACTGAATCTGTAACCGGGTGAATAAAATCAAGGTCAGATGTTTGGAAGGTCAGGCATGTTCAGTAATCCAACAAAAACATTACGAGATCAAAATCATACAAAAGACTGTAATGTCAAACAGGTCTATGGAAGTAAGTAACATGTAAACAATACGAAAATGGAGCAATGAATTGTAAATTCTTGGCAGTGCCCTCGTTTGACTCATATGAGGTCTTATATACACTGAATTATGAATAGCAGCTAACAGAGAATGTGGATAATTCTAAACCGAGAAACACAATAATTCCTTACAAGGTATCTTGGAAAATCCAACTGGGTGAGATGGCAGATTTTCTCTTTGGACAGCCACCTCTGCCCGAACACCCACACAGATACATTACATCATTATTCATAAGTATTGTCCATGTCACAGACTTAAGAGTAAACCATGTTTTAATACGCTTATGTTTTCCCTTCGAATGACCAGTACTCATAAATATTAATGTTAACAGTGCACCTGGCGTGTTACTGCGGGAAATTTGACATACGTATTTTGAATATCAGAAATTTATTATCATTATCATATTTAAACCAAACATCATCACTGAGATTCGAAACCCGAATTTTTTGAGTTTGTGAACTTACGAGGTGCGATCGGAAAGTTTAAGACTGTCAATAGAGGGCGAACCGGATGTAGTACGAGCTTCTGCCGCTAGGGGGTGCGGCCTACATTTATAGTGAATCAGTGTGCCAGCCGGCATCATCGAATTAGCATTTGTTTCTTAGTTACGGGCGTTTTGGTAGTGCATTACACCGACCCTCCTGCGATTTCGGAATGGCGTGTGCATCAAATGTTGCCAAAGACTCGCCAAAACGGCTACGGAAACCTATGAAATCCTAAAGCAAGCATTTGGGGAGTCCGCAAACTTTGGTGTGGCATTCACGTTTTAAAAATGACCGAACCTCTGTCGATGATGATTCTAAAGGAAGAACTCCACATGCGACGCATCATGACAACGCACCAGCGCACACCGCCTTCAAAGTTCGGCAGTTTTTGGCCTCAAACACCATGGCCGTCATCCTGCACCCTCCTTATTCGCCGGATTTAGCTCCGTGTGACTTCTTCCTCTTCCCAAAGAAGAAAATTCAGGTAAAGGGAAGGAGATTTGAGACGATAGAAGAGATTCAGGCAGAATCGCAGATGGTGCTTGACAGGCTGACAAAGAAAGATTTCCAGGGATGCTTCCAGGCTTGGCAGCGGTGCTGGGATCGTTGTATTCACTCCCAGGGAAACTACTTCGAGGGTGATGGATGAATTTAATACCTGAGATAAGTGTACGGGTTTTTATAGGCGCAGTCTTGAAACTTTGCGATCGCACCTCGTAGTTTCTGTAATCTTCTACCTCATAGGAAATAATTTTCTTATTTACACCATTCTTCATTTGTGCTTCACTGGGACTCAAACACAAGATAGTTTTTGTGGTTGTGGCCATTTCTTCTGCAATTACCTTTTTGCAACATGCCCCCCCCCCCCAAGATGCAGAAACAATTATTGCCGTGTTTTTAAAGCAGGACACATTTTTAGAGTTTTTGCCCTCCTAAAATCTCATCTGCATTTCAAAGAACTAACATGCCAATTTGGGTGCAAATTGGTATTACCCTTCTTGAACTGTAAGAAAAATATGCACAAACACATTTTTAATCTCTTAAAGTAATTGTACCTGTAGCCATACACCCTACCATGTTAATTACTAGACAAATGAGGCAGCCACCTAGGGTGGAAAAAAATCGAACAAATAAAATTAGAGGAGGTAGGAAACACAGAATATATTAAGCATCTAAAAATAGCAAGAGAACAACCCAAGGATAAGATAAAAGAGTTTGTGTTCCCAGTCTTGCAATATGCTTAGTATCATATACAAATAACTGGCATGTAGTGCAGTGGACATTGTGACTTGTCAGTACATTTCCAGACAGACTGACTTGTGAATGGGCACATTTGATAATTCAGCATCACAAATTACACAACAAAACTTGCACTACCAGTTTCCATTTCACTTCTTTGTAATTTTTTATTGTTCTCTGTACTCGTTTCCTTTAGAGTCTCTAAATTCTAATGTGTATTTCTTTCGATAAGATATTTCGTGTAAAGTGTTGAACAATTACATACAGTAACATATTCTCATGTGTGTGAGGCGTAGGGGTATCAATGCTGAAGGTTCGCCCAGGGCGTCAAATACCCTTGTGTCAGCCCTAAACACATAAGCGACAAGGTAGATCTTCACTCACAAAAATTAAGATTAATTTGGGCTTGTGGTATTTAATTTAATCAATAACAATACATATGACATGTAACAGAAAAGCAAAGTAATGGAACCACATCTCGTAGGATTTGGGGTTTTCACAGCTTTCAGTCTGAAGATTGCTGTCTTCTGGGTTGTTGCGCAATGTAGTCTGGTAGATCTACCAGACTACACCGCACAACAACCCAGAAGACAGCAATCTTCGAACCACATCTCACTACCACAATAACAATGCTACATGTTCAAACTTTTATCCTCAATGTGTAAGGAGTTTGTTAATTTGTTTCTTTCAGATTGGTGTGATCCATCGGGACCTTAAACCAGAAAATATATTGATTGACTCTGAAGGTCATATAGCGGTCACAGACTATGGACTATGCAAACAGTTTCCACCAGATACAAAGGTACATTTAATATCCACGTTGAATTTTGTTGAGTTTAAATACAGGCTCATATAAACTGGAAATATATGAGCTACATGAACCACTGTCTGTCAGGTAGTACTCTTTAATTGAGCAAAATCCAGGTACAATCACCATAAAGTGTGGAGAGGTTTCATGTGCCAGGAATTGGACAACACATATTCAAGCTCTTTCTCGTGTGTCAATATTGAAGGGAGAGTAAATCTAAAGTATGTCACCAGTTCTTTGAATTTTGACAGGGTGAACTCAAAAGTGCAGAACTGTAATACCTTTAGTATCTTTGGGTGTAATAAATATGTGATACTATTTAATTCAGAAATCATTAACATACTATTTAGTATGCAAGTTATGAAATATATAACATACATAAACCTGTGCCTTACTTTGAGGAGAGCGCTTTAGTTATAAGTGTTTAAAACAAAGGCTGATACTGGAAACAAAGAGGGATAAAGCAAAGGACTAGATTTGAAATTATATTATAATGTTAGGATATAGGATAGTGAAATTAAGGAGATTACTTACAATGGGTCGGAGATGTAGGGAGAGAAAAAATCTGTAGAATATTCTTGAGAAAGGAAATGCTTCAAACATGGGATGGTAAACATCTTGGAAAGTGCCAACTTGGAAAATCGTAAAAAAGAGGGAATACAGAATTAAAAGGGATTTTAATTGAAATAGGTTGTGAGGGCAGGAGGTAAATGGAACTGGCTCAGGATTGTGTGTCTAGTGGAGGGCTTCAGTAATAGCCTTGCTCAAAGCTTTTTTTCTGTTTACAAGATAGTTAGTTTATAGTTGTGTTGTCTCAAATTCCTGTCATAATTATTTAAAATCTTGTCTTCTGCAGGTCAAACGTGCTCGTGCATTCTGCGGCACAAGAGAGTATGTGGCTCCAGAAATGATTCTGCGCAAAGATTACGGCATGGTAAGTACCTTGACAGTATGAAGATAATGATTTCTTTGTTTTCTGTATGACTAGTGTAAAGAAGCATCACATTACAACAATCAGAGGATTTGGAGAAACAATTAGTAACTCCATGGAGTTCATAATGACACATGCATAAACTGGTTACTATATGATATAAGTGGTAGAAAAGTTAAACTGCCTACCAACATATTTGCCTGAAAATGAAATTTAAGAGACAAGCACAAGGCAGGTGAATTCAAAGGTAACTGCATCTTATCCTCCCAATGGTGGCAAATACATAGCATCCTTGATATATCCCCAGAATCAATAATCAAAAGGAACAAAGTGAGGCGAATGAGGGGGCGAAGTGACAGGCCTGCCACTATGAACACATTTCTCTGGATATTTCCTATTTAAGACATTAGCCATTTCCTTGTGGTGTTCCGTCTTGTTAGAACAGCATCGGGACTCTGTTATTCCATAATTGGCGTGAGGAATTCCTCCAACACGTCTAGGTACACTGTGCAATTCACATTACATTTGGCAGAATACAGAAGGTCCAAAAACATTTTGTTTGAACAAATTATAAAACGTGTTAAAACATGGAATGTCTCTCATAAGTTCAATAACTTCGCGAGCATTCTTTTGCCACCATATTCTCAGATTGTGTTGATTAGCATTTCTTGATAAGTGGAATATGGCTCCATCACTAAAAACAATGTTGGCTGTGTAAATTTTATCATCTTCAAATTTTAAAAAAAAAAGATCAGATCAAAATGTATAGCAAACTTCTTTTCCTTGGACAGTTACATGTTTCAACAGTTGGTATTTATATTTTTACTGCTACCTTTACAAATGCAGCCAGTGAGATTAAAAAAATTTACCACTTGTAAATCAACATTTTTGTTGGCAGTTCTCTTCCAAACGCTATATAAAATCTGCTTTACATTGTAAACACAAACCTGTGCTTGTGAAACTGCAGTATGCATTTGGTTTCTGCAAATTGAGACATTTTAAGAACTGTGAATGCTGTGCTTCAGGCAGAACAATTTGGAATTTCAAGCAGTACAAATTATTAACTTCATCATATAATAACCTACTGAGTTGCGTATAATTTTAATGTCTTTGCTGTTCGTTTACAGTACGATGGAAAACATTTTATGTGCACAACCTATATATAGAAAGCTTTTGAACTAAACTAAAGATGAACATTTATAGTAACTTTTCACAATAAATAGCGCTAATGAATTCACACCAATCCAGATGAAGAAGAATCATAGGCTCTCTTGCAACTGAATCCTCAAAAAGATTCTCCCATCAGATTCACATGAAATAGTTTCTCAATTATCCTGACTCAAATGCTGATGTCATTTAATGTCAAATTAAACGATAATATCACTATATAATGTGCATTGTAAAGTATAGTTAATGAAGTGAGTCTTAAGGTTCTGTCCAAGCATTTGCAAGCAAAAGCATAAGAAAACTCTGTCTATGACTGGCTAGGAATCAAACTATATGAAATAAATAAATGAAAAAAAGAGTACTTATCACGCAAAGGAATAATTACATATAAACCTGAAGGCAAAAATGTAACAGTACAAATCATACCACAATATTTGTTTCTGAAGACCCTTTAAGTATGTTAGTGTGAAGAAATAAAAATTACTAACTGCAACTGATGCCACAAGATTGAATTGTTGCAGGAAGTTGACTGTTGGAGCTTGGGAATCATCGCTTATGAAATGATGGCTGGACATATGCCCTTTGTAATTACAGGAAAAGAAACCGTGGCTACCCTCTATCAGTAAGTGTATAGAATTTGGGAAGGGATCTGATGTATGTGATACCTGTTAACATAATTTTCCTTTGCTCAAAGTTATATCTTTAGGTCACTGGCTACGGACTGAAGAACAGAGGCAGAGGTTTTTCCTCTAGCCTCTGCGTCCAGACTGACTCTGGGGCTCACCCAGACTACTATCCGTTGGGAACTGGGGTCCTTTCCCCAGGGGGGTAAAGCTCGGCCAGGGAGTGACGCTGATCGCTCCCCTCACCTAGTGCTGAGGTTAAGAATGAGTAGGAGCTAATGCCCCCTCACCCAAGTGCCTACATGGTGTATAGCGGGACAGAGTTACTTTTCTTTTTTACAAAGTTATATCCAAATCAGTTTGTGGCTAATGCCTGTCTACTTTAATGGCAATATAGCAGGTGCACACATTTGAAACTTGAGTAGAATTGACCTTAGGAAAGAAACTGAATGCAAGCACATCCGTAATCACAACCAATAAGAAAGAAAGTTTCTGCAGGCTGACTGTCAGGGGCAGAGAAGAAAAGAGTTCCAAAAGCAGAAAATCATAACATCTTTGAAATGTTTAACATGGACCTACCACAGATCTGAGTGTAAATTAGACAGTGAACAGGCTAATTATAATAACTTTGACAGCCATTATAATCACTAAAGAAAATGAATATTTAATATGTATTTAATGGAAAATACAACAATGTACCTTTCCTTAACAGCAAAATTACACAAGAGAAACCAGTAATTCCTAAGTATTTCTCGCTCAAAGGGATAGATTTTGTCGAAAAACTTTTGGAAAAGAATCCTTTAAGACGGTTGACAACAAGGAAGATCCCTGCACTGAACATCAAGAAGCATCATTTTTTCAATGTGAGTTCAATTGCTGTTTGTTATCACATAATAATGGGTTTCAGTACTAAACTGTGCTTTGTCCATGCACTGAGAATATCAACCAGAGCGAACATCCACACAGTTTGAGATTTTTTACAGCTTCTAGATGATGTGATTTTTTAAAATATGAATAAGTAAAAAAATATAATTACATCCTCAGCAGAAGAGCTTTTGTGTAAGAAATGTCACACGCCTAACAGTGTCAGTGCATAGATAGTAGGAACACAATAATAGGTTCAGGAAGATGGCACACTGGACCGTTACATCAGAATTTCAGTAACATGCTCTCAGTACATGCCACTAACTTCCTTTAGAATTGGAAAACATGATTAATTGTCCTCAAACATTCAGACCAGCAAATGCAGTATTGTTCACTAAGTTCAAGCACAGACCAAAATTCAGGGCCAAGCAGAAGACTGCATTTCAAACTCCTTGTACTTTCCACACAATTTAAGTGTCTTATAAAATGAGATGTTCCCATTTCCATCTTGTCACATCTTACTCTGCAATCTGCATTCTGGTTCATACTACTAACGTTTGTTCTTCATCCTACAGGGTATAATCTGGCAAGATGTGGAAAGGAAAGCAACAAAGATGCCGTACCGTCCACCTTTTGACATTAAAAATGACGCCAAACGTGTTCATGACAATTTGAGCAAGGAACTTCATACTCATTCAAATTGTAATGACCACATAACCCAGGTCAGTAAAAATACACTATCTGACATTTTGGTACATTGTGCACACCAAAAAGGTTTATTTATGGTGCTTCTGTTACCTGCAGAACAGCTGTTTGATGTATAAGGCTATATTGCCTTGAAGGCGTTAAAGTAATTGAGAATGTTTTGGGCACTTTAACTAATATGATTCATGCAATTAGATTAATATTCACACTGCTGTAATCATGAAGATGTCTATGGGCATAAACAGTAGTTATTGAAGAAATAATGGGTAAACAGAAGACAAAATAAGAATAATGTGAGGGATTTCAACCCCTGATAATTTATCTTATGACTAAAGAATCAGTCCACTCTTATCCTGGAAGTTTCTTAAAGTAACGTCATTTGAAATAATGGAATTGCTTTTTATTATGGAAGTCCTGAGAACATTCTTCATTAACCAAAAAATGTTACTGAAAAGTGTCCTCATTCTGTTTTCAAATAATGAAAATTTGTGGAAATGTTATAATAAAAATAATCTAAACATCTAGGACAAATATGAGAATAGGTCCCGGTTTCGATTCCCGATGGTGCTCAGATTTATAGCTTGTGTTGGGCAAGGCCGTGGTCCAGTCATCACGGAATTTTCCTCCGGGGTTTCCCAGGTTTCTCCGTGGCATCCCAACAATTCCTCCACTTTTATCATCATTTCGCAAAAAGGGGGTCACAGCAGGACCGTTAAATGTCGCGATCCCGGTCGAACCCATGTACTGATGGGTCGTGAATCTTGCTAATCAACAATGCACACCATGCTGGATACGATGTAAACATGTATATACATGCTTATTTACTACATTCCAGAGATCCATAAGTCAATAGGATGTAGAATAATTCATAATGATACAATGTGTATACACAATGCACATACAATATAATGTGCTACATGCCAGACTCAATTAACTAACTACTTAGATGGCTTACGGAACCCGAAGGTTCATCACCGAATTAACCCAAGCCCTCCACTGGTCACTGTCTTGGGCAAAAAAAAGCAGTCACCTTCAACACCTATCTCCCATAGATCCCAATTGAGACTATTCTCCCATCTACCTCTAGGTCTCCCCAGCGGTCTCTTCCCCTCAGGATTCCTTACCAATACCTGGTGAACACACTGTGTCCCATCCATGCACGCTACATGCCCCGCCCATCTCATTCTTCTCGACTTAATCACCATGACATTATTGAGGGAGGAGTGAAGATTTTAAGCTCATCATTATGCAGTTTTCTCCATGTCCCATCGTCTTCTCTCCTATGCCCAAATATCCTCCTCAACACCTGCAATCTGTGTTCCTCCCTCTGAGTGAGAGACCATGTTTCGCACCCATACAAAACAACAGGCAATATTATTGTTTTGTATACTTTAATTTTCAGGTTCTTAGATATCAGACGGGAAGACAAAATATTTTTAACTGAGAAGTAGCAAGCATTTCTGGAATTTAGTCTCCTCCTAACTTCCTCATGAGTGTCATTTTCATTTGTTATTGTTGTTCCCAAATATTTTAACTTTGTAACACTTTAAAAGATATTATTAGCCACTTTAATATTCATACGCCTAGTCACTACAGGCCAAACCCAGGACACTTATTCCTCCGCAATGATTACTGTCATTTTCCTCATTGTTTAAGACAGACTACATCATTGCTGTTTTCCAATCTTCAGGCATCTAGTGTGACATCTGGCACACAATTCAAATATGTGTGAAAGTATATTATTTTATTGTAACTGACATCTTCAGATTTGCAAAGTCATTATTTATTATCCATCACCTGGCTTCCATCTTTGTGGGGTGTGTGGATTCATCTGGCTCAGGTTGGGGGCCAATGGCTGACTTGTTAACATAATGAAGAACCTTCAGTTTTCATATAAGCAAGGCTTAATTAGCTGAGCAACTATTAGCTTCTCAGAAAGGAGTCTGTTGCATGAAGCCAATTTTGTACAGGACTACTTAGAAGGCGGCAAAAACCCACAACAGGGTTGTAGAGCCGAGAAACAACAACAACTTAGAAACAAGATAAATGTTTAAAGTACAATCAACTTAAGTGACAATATTCATTGATGACACATGAACCAAATAAATATTTCAGAAATGTTCACAATGATGACACATGAGCCAAATAAATATTTCAGAAATGTTCACAGTGTTGTGCCAACTTAAATACAGATGACAGAAATTACATTTAAAAAATTCATCTAAAGGCACAGACTGTAACACTAGACCATGCACAGTTAACTGCAAAATTTTAATATGTAGTACATTTAAATTAATTTCTTAAATATCATTGTGAATATACTAAAGCAGTATGCCTCAAAGTATTTATAAGTGTACAAGTCAGTCACAGAGATGGAGGATGTCCTAGAAACAGTGAATAACAGGCCAGAAACCTAACATCAAGTTGTTGTTGCATAAAATATTGACTCCGTGGAGCAGATTATATTCAACAAGCTGACAGTGTACTCAGCTAGTTAAACGATTGGCAATGTGAATCTTCTCTCAACTAGGGTTGTTGGAATCCTGCCAGATTTCCAGCTAAACTCCATATCTGGAGGCCTCCTCCTCCCACTTCCAGAGGAAGCGCCATGCAGTGGCAACTCGGTCAGGATCACTGATTGACTTTTACCTTCAGACACTAATACAATAAAGAAATATTTTTAATTTTTATGGGTGTAGTCTAAGTTCTACCGCGAAGATATGTTTTATCACTATGTTCCAACAAAACATATTTTTGTATCTTATAAACTTCAAATGAAATAAGTTCCTCTATGACTGAGTTTACTTACAAGTGACTTTGCATTTGTGTTACAGGCATGCTTATATGTAGCCCCATCCCTGATCCCTAACCAGAGACATAGACCAGAAACTTCAAGGAAGTGCCTGAACAAAGTAAGTGATAATATTTTAATTACATTACGTTATTATAAATCATGTTTTTCAGATATATGTGTTGCACGTTAACGAATTTAATGACAATTGCTTACAAAATGTGATTATGGTTCACTTCCTTGTTGCCTACTTGTATTCTATTCAAACCTTACCACTTTCCTGGTATAATTCAGTAGCATCCATCACAGAGAAACAAAAAGTCATGCTTATGGTCACGAGCAGCGGTAGCTCAATCAGTACAGTGTCTGAATGGATATGAGTGAGGTTCTGTACTGAATTTAAAGTGTATGAGAAGAATGTTTATGTATGCTGAAATTATTATGTAGTCTACTTTATTTAAACATATTTTAATCATCTTAATTAGTTTCATAATTACACTATATTCAATGAGAATGTTGTATGATATTTCGGAGGTTTTTGGACTCCTTTTAATGTTGACTCAATTATTCATTATTGCAGACAAAATTAAAAATATTTTTTATCTCAGGATGTAGTGTTATGCTTTCTTCTTGGTTCAGTAGTGCCAGAATTCGGTCAATACCCGGTGATTTATACCTTTCAACTCTTGCGCTCCTAAACAAGGTACTGTACATGTAGAAGAAAGTATTTGGGATCATCAGCATTAATTTTGACCCATTCGCTTAGTAACTTAACAGATACTCTGACTATCAACAGTATTGAGAAATACTGTTGTTACCATCTGGAGAGGAGGAGATGGGTCAATCTGTCATAATACCTCTACCTACACAGGACAAAACATTGCACAGATAGTGAACACACATCTGTCCACTGAACAGGATTAGAACTCATTACCAAAGTGTTCGAATGGTCAAGATTGATACCATAAGCTATGTGACCTCTGTGATGGGATACACAGTACACAAATTAATACTCATTCTACAAGATAAATTACATAAAAATAAAAGCTTGATGCTCAATACCTAATAAGGTACATTATTTTCAGAATGAACCTCGGAAAGAGCAAGATGTACAATTTAACGGTGTTAGAGGACCAAAATTCAATGTTAGTGGCTGCCTAGGTCTTGTGATTGCTAATGGAAGACCAAGAGTCCACAGGAAGATTGAGAAGTAGGCATGCCAGGACACAGGGGCATTTGCATCTCTCAGCGAATGCTTATCAGGATCACACAGTAACAGGGCAGGAGCTGCAATCCAGAATTTATGTGGCCCTGGATTGTTACACATGTAGGTACAGACCTAAGTTCTGGAAAAACATACTGCCTCAACATTCAATACCTCGTGTTTCCCATCATGTCTGCCTGTGTGTCAGCCCTACTTTCAGCAGTCATTTAAGAATTAATAAACACAACCCTACTTGTTTCCTCAGCAGGTTCTTTCTCCACCTGACCACTGCCCCAATTTTGGGATTTCCCCACACTGCTTGTTCCTTGTAGCTTTGCCAGCCTAACCCCTCCTTACACTCTTGTCCTCTTAGGTTTATAAATCCCTGGGCTTCTAGTTTCAAGTTACATAACCCAGACCATGGCAATATTGGCACTACCCCAGTTGGGGATGTGCCCACAGAATTCTTCGTGTACAGAGTCCAGTTATGTTTTAAACCCTCAGAGCTTGAATCCTGACATGTGGGATATAAATAAGGTGTTAGCAAGGGGGAAGTCTCAGTGTTGCCGTGGCCTGGGTCATCCATACTAAGCTCGTGCAAGCCCAGAGATTTCCAAACTTGTGAAGAGAGGATTATGAGGAGCAAGCCCTGAGGGCACAGCCCCAAAGCAAGGCAAGTCAAACAAGGCAAATGTGTGGGGAGAAACAGGCCTGCAGAGGGAAGACCTAGGGCGGAAGCCTTCAGTCACAAAGAAAACTTCATACTTCGTTCTAAATTTGATTTGTACCTTGGGGAACTCCTAGGGCTTCCCTGCATCAAAGTGGCAGCTGAACATAAGACACACAGAATCAGGCCCACATAGTAATGAAGATGGAGACAGTATGCCCTTCCGAAACGTTGGTATCTGTAAGTTCACACAGCGTTACAGGCCAAGCAATACAGAGCACGCTGTTGGATTTCGAGCTCGGTTGTACATTAAAGTAATAAATCAATGCTCCCTGATGGCGACTAAAATATTCACTTTCAAATGCCATTTTGTCTCTTTAACACACAGTATGCATCACATCACATATGTAATATGGCTTCATGATAGTTGTATTAAATTCTAATCCAAAGATAAAATATCAGTGTACTAATTATGACCCTGTAACCTCTCTCATTTTTTAAATAAAGGGCTTCTTGCCTTTTACACAGTTCTAACCACTCACCCTTGCCACTTTCTCACAAGAGACTGTGAGGCCAATAATTCAGGTTCTGAAGGTTAATTCAGAAAACTTATTGCATAAGTATCTCAGATGAGATGAGGTTTATACCAAGGAATACATGTGAGGTGCCGAGATGGAATTTCGCAGAACTTCAGGATGGTGATGTGTTGGTGCATTACGACTACTTTTAGAAAACGTTTGGTCAATACACTGCCACAAATATGCAACGTTAGATTTTAGGTTTTCACAGTGGTGAGAATGAAGGTTGCTGTCTTCTGGGTTGTTGTGCCGTGTAGTCTGGTAGAAGTTTAGCGACGTTTCAGGGGTCCCTGCTGCCTCCATCATCAGGGCGAATAAAACGTTGGTGGACATCTGGCAGACCACACAGCACAACAACCCAGAAGACAGCAAACTTCATGCAGCGAGCTGTCTAACTGGTTATTCTAATTAAAATTATTTATTTTAAATGCTGTGAATCAAGATGTCTCATAAGAAAATTCAGCAACCATTTCTCACCCAAGTCTCTCCTGATACACCACTAGATGGCTCCAGCAGACAAATCAGGTTTGAGTAGAAATTGTGCAGAGGCAGTTGGCCTCTCACTCACTACTCATAATTGCACACTTCAAAGTCAAAGAATCCTCCCACATGGGAGGAGGCCAAGGCTCGACTTCGGGCTGTTGCACCATAGTCAGTCAGTCATTTTAAATGCTGGGTTATTTTTAGAATTCACAGGAGAATGTTCTTGGTGTTTTAGTTGCTGCAGTGAATTTAGACAAAGAATTTGAGTTGACAACTGTGACAGAGTGTGAATACACTCACTGAAATGTAATGTCAGAGTGTTTTGAGACCACACACTTGCACACTAGATGGTGATGGTAGCCGAGTTCCAAACTTTGTATTTGAAGCAGTCTTCCTATTGGCAGACTCGTCATTTGAATGTTGCGATCTTTGCACCAGGTGCACACTTCAACTTTATTGGTTGGTCATGATGAAATATGACCCAAAAATGGCACCTGCAAGTAGTAAAAGACTGGTGATGACTACACATGTTCATTGAAATTTATAATGTCTTGAGTATGAATGAGGCGCCTCAAAGCCAGATATACTGACATCCAGTCTTCTGCAACTTGAGAATCATATACAAGTAATAAATTTCTAATAAAATTTCAATTATAAATTTTGATCAAGAAATATGCTGTCAAATATAAATATCTATCTTACGCACACTTTCCTAAATATATAAACTGGAACAAATGTATTATATAATGTCCATCTTGGGGTATCCTGCCCATAATCAAACTCACAACCAGTGGGCACACAGCCCTCTTTGACAATTAACAACAATATTTAAGTGGAAAAGGCATCCTGATATGAGGTTATACTCTGTTATGCAATAGTCCAAGTCTGGTGTGCTCAGGTTATCAGTGGTTTGGGATAATACGATCTGCTACTTGAAAGGAAAGCTCCTGTAGCAGATATATATAATGTTACTTGTTTTAGCTGCAAGAGGAAGATAGTCTGAAGATTTCTGTGACTAAGGTAGGAAGTCTAGTTGAGTGGTGGTTGGATAATAGGATGTGTTCATTCATTGCATCAAAGAAAAAATATCTAAGTGTTGGTAGAGAAAGATTATACATGTGTCATGAAAAGACATATATACACTATAATATGGAATATAAACCTTGTAACCAATCTTCATATGTTGTGTTTATGAGGGGAACCTAGTGTGGTCTGCACATAGCAGTTGGCACAACAATATCTTTTCCTGTGATTCAAACATGCAAAATGGTGGAGGGTTGAGACGTGATCAGTACCACTCACAATCACCATATTTAACCCCATCTGACTTTCTTGTGTGGTTACTTGAAGGACATGGTGTACAGCAAAAAGCTAGCAACAATTCAAGAGCTCCAGTAAGAAACTGAATGGTCTTGCGCAGACAACTAGGTGGTCACTTTTCCATCATTGGCTCACAGCTGTCAATTGTGCCATGAAGCTAATGGTGGTCATTTTGAACACCTACACTAGAATTGCAAATTGACTAAGAGCCAATACTGACATATCTAATAGTTTAGTCTATTAAAATGTCATTATTTCATTCAATGAATGTGTATACATCTTTCTGGGACATTCTGTTTATTTGTAGGAGGTTTATTGTTATTGTGTGGCTTCTTAAAATCACTACTTATCTATGTGACTATTTTGGTCTTAACAGTATTAACTTAGTTGTGATAACTCTAGTTTGAAGCCTTATAAAGGAAGTGTTAATCCCAATTTTATAATCAGAACAAGTAATCACACTTTTACGTCATTTGAAATTTGTGTTCCCACTTGCCCGTTTAACACCTCTGAAGAGAAACTTATACAAATGGTCGGCCAGACACTGTGGCATGTTCTACAACCCTGATGATGATGGAGAGAAGTGATGTAGACAACTGTAGTAACTTTCAAATAAAATACTGAGCACAAGACTGCAAAGTATTTTAATAAATTGATTTGAGACAGTCACAAATAAATAACTGATTCACACATAAATGGTGTTTTTAAATTTAGATATGAAGTTATCTGTGGGTTTATTGTAACTGTTTTTACAGAAAGAGGCTTATTTCTACACAATATAATCAATCTTAATTCAGAGATGCAATGCAATTAAATATTTTTGTTAGTAATATTCCTGCACAATTTTTGGTTTCACTGAAACAAATTCTGCAAGGGTTTATGACATTTAATGGCTTGCTAACAAATGTCTTCTCTACTTTATTTTTATAATCATATTTCCATACTTCTGGTACCGGTACCTACGGTTTTTGCATTATTCTTACATATGTAGCACAAATGACAGGACCCTTCAAGTAACTCCATTTGTATTGATAACAGCATGGTATCATGAATCTATCTATATCAAGATTCAGAGGATAAGCTTGTAAATGAGGAGCAATCATGTTTGGAACATGCAGTTTTCTGATTCAAAAGAGAGCTATTCAGATAAGCATGCTTATAATGGCATATGGAGACTAGAAATTTTGTGTGTTTGGTCGATTATTACTTTTAAATTAAAGTTAAAAACTAGTTACATGTGATTATGCAATTAAAGGATTATTTAAGCTCTGGATAGCTCTGATGTATAAACGGTTATTACAGGCCTTTGTATTCAAATTGTGCGTAAATAATCCATTACTTTCAGGCAAACTTAACTTCAGTTTTTAATGAAAATATAAATGTAGAAATTGGTTAAAAAACCCATAAACTTCCTATCAACACCTGAAATTTAATTTTCTAACCAGATGAGATTTTAAGTTCTCACAGAGTCAAGAATGATGATGACTATCTTTTTGGGATGTTTCTCCTTATAGACTGGTAGAATTTGACCAGCGTTCCAGATATGCTTACTGACTCCTTCATCAGGGCGATTACAGTGGTCTCATTAGGCACCACCGATGCCTTCGTCAAATTCTACCGCATTATACGGCCTAACATCCCACAAGACAGTAATCTTCAGCTTTATAACTGTTTCATTTAACACCCCAATTCTAGAACTGGGAGACATTCTACTCAGTTATACTTAAACACACTTATTTCAGAGTATCTGAAGCTCCTGTAAACCTACGTACGGATCCTAGCGTCAGTTAGCATAATTAAACATGTAAGTATCAGTTTACACATCTTTATAACAGATCATTCACTTCTCAGTCCTTGTACCTGAAGAACACCTGCTTAGATTGATGTATGTAGTGCAGAGCAAGTAATTTGATGTGGGGCAAAGTCGTGTACTTGGTTATTCTCACAGGCTACATGTTTAAATATCGGGGCAGATGTTCTTTTCAGTATAACGTTTGTTTTTTGTTAAAAACCAGGTCTGGGAAAAAATTCAGTTAGAATAGCCTATTCTGTTTGAACGCTCTTTCTGCCATAGTTATCATACAAGAAAGAGTTCTAGAAACAAACCATGAAGCATACTTTCATACTGCACAAATTTTCATTTCTACACATTTTGCGATGTCAATTTTACATTTAAGTAATTCAAGTTTACTGTCAAATGAAATTTAACTCGTGCGTTAGTATCCTGATTTCTTGTGTACATGGTCATACAACTGACTCCCGTTTGAGTTAAATTTTCTTATTACTTCATGCAAGTTACATTAATTATTATCATTAATTTTATATGTATGAAGAAATTCTTATTTAGGTACAAGTGTCTTGACAGTCAAATTTATGGAATAGTCATATACCTTCAAATGTTCTAATTGTTTCCAATATCTGTAATATTCAACTTTGGAAAATTTATCTTGCACAATTTGTGGAGTCTTTGTAATCTACTATTATCCAAATTTTCATTTCCTTAGCTCCAAGTTCTGTTGGTCATCACTGCTAACCTGAATGATCAAGATAACTTTTGCATTGCTACTATGTTATTTTATTTTACAATAAAATACTTTAAAAGTTACTTATCTTTTGAAGATGTTATAATTTCAATATTAAGTATGAATATGGAAGAGCATTTGACTTTTCAGTCCTTAAAGAAAGAGTAAGCACGAGTCAGTTAAAAATTGATCTTGACTCAGCCGAAACCCACAGTTTACTATTTGTATTGTTGTTCCCTAAATGTACACGTATAATTATAAGATACGAATACTTAGGCTTCAAACACAGAACTGATTTTGAAAGTGACCGTGCTAGCCTTTTGTTGTTTCTATCCATTCATCGTTTCAAAGTCTGTCTCTCACATTTTGTATTTTGCCCAACTCACATACTTTACTTGGATACTGCATGAAGTAACCTATTCCATATTTGTTTATTTTACAAAGTAATGCCCAGTAGTGGTACTTATGTGGTCAGTAGGGTAGGAGTACTGATGGTGGGTGGTTCAGCAATGTTAGTTTCTAGGGTGGTCTGTTGGTATGATAGTGGGGATGATCCTTGTGGTGGTAATATCATGTTTGTCAGGAGTGGGGTGGCTGCCACGACTGTGATTATGGCACGATAACCGTCGTGGGACGGGTGCTGTGGGATTGAACCCAAACCTTCAAAATGAGGGACTTCTCACATCCCTGGCAGAATCCCTTTGTGATCACACCAGACACCAGCATATCCGAACAGATGCACTCGGTTCATAATCTGTGGAGTCTGAACAATTTTAAACTTATTTTAAATCGCATTCTGCAGTTAGAGGACTTTCATTGGTGCACAGCTTCTAGGACAGAAGTGAAGGCCTCATATAAACATGAAAGCATGGATGGGACCTCTTCCCCTATGTGGAGTTGCTCTATATTTCTGACTCCAACTGTGTGACATGTTGGGTTGTCTTTAATAGTATCCATAGCAAGTCATTAGTTTAGTTTAGCTCCTTCCATAGACACTGGATGGCCCAAGTCCCTAGTCCAAATTATGAAATTAATACAAACCTGTAAGGGTAAAAATTGCATTCCTAATGTATGGAAGAATTTTCACCACTGGATACAGCGTTCTGCTTTCTAATTCTGTTATTCTAAGTACACAAACACATTATTTTTGCCTACTGCAACAGTATGCAGTATTCCTCCAACTGTTGTAAAATCACTTTCTAAAAAATGATAACTGCATAAACTCTTATTTTGCAACATTTTTGCACTCTTTCTGCCCATAACGTAGTACTGTTAAAGTAAAAATTCCTATATTACGACTAACTCAATTGTTAATCTGTCAACGATTACAATCAAATAATTCTTCTCCTGGTGGTCTAAGAGAGGGTCTCCAAAACATTCATCTCCTGTCCAGAACTAATGCAGCTTGTTGCCCAAGAGGAGTTTGTAGCGTTCAGTTGCCGAGAGAGCTTCAAGTTATGCACAATTACAAACTTGACAATGGTGTAGAATTTTGAGGTTATGTCTAAGAAATTTAATGTAAAGACAACTGAACCGAATTCCACTTTTCAAATATAAACTATCAATATCTAAATGTGGTAGCAACAGATTTTTAGGGCTGTAAATCTGTAACAGAAAAGAGGACTTTAAGAGTTCCACACAGAACATCTTGATTGGCCCTTGTAAACATGTAATACTGTTCCCCTATTAAAGGGGATTTCGAATCACAAATCTGGAAGAATTATTACGATTACAAAATAATTTAAAGTAAAAATAGCAAAGAAACGATTACGCAGAACTAATAATCGTCTATTAATTGAACCGACTGGCAATGCATTTCCTCAAAGGAACGCACAACAGGTATACCACCAACTTCCAAGGAAATAAAATCAAACACACGTTTCATCTCTGATATTTTCAGACGTTCCAGAGATAATCTTTGCTGCTAACGACATCTCTCGCGTGTAGTGCGTACTTCTTTCAGGTATCTCTTCAATTGTAAACAAACAATTACTATTTCCATAGTTTCACTCAGCAGACAATTCTAACAAAGAATTGTCACAGTAGAAATTTTGTTTTATTCAAAAGTTTAATCTGTCATGTGGAATACAATATTATATTTTATCCAACGAATCTTCTTCAATCGGGTAAGTAATAAAGACAATACATTAATAAAGTCACCTGCACATCAGTATATGTTTTTAACGTAAGATTTACTCATGTATTAGTATTATTATTACTATCCAGTCTGAAGGTGATGACTAGCAAAACTCAGAGCTAGGAAATCTACATTGCGCACGAAGATAAATTACTTATTTAAATGAATTAGTTATATTCTTTATAAACTTCAATAACTTTAGTGTAAAACTAACGACACAAATATTTGTAAAGAAATAAATTTGTAATAAGAAAGTACCGCCACGGTGGTCTAGCGGTTAGAACGCTGGCCTTGTAATCCTGGGGTCTCGGGTTCGATTCCCGGCGGTGCCCGAATTTATAATTTGTGTTGGGCAAGGCCGTGGTCTAGGCAACACGGAGTTTTCCTCCGGGGGCTTCCCCGGTTTCTCCGTGGCATCCCAACAATTACTCCATTCACACACAGAAGAAGGCAATGGCAAACCACTTCTGGATCATCTCCCAAGAACGTATATGAACAGGTCCCAATCCGAGAAAAGGATGGAAGGATCCTGCTCATATGGACCTGTCCTCAGACAGAACACTAAATAATAATAAATAATAAAAAGAGAATTACGCTGTCATCTCATAACTCGAGAACCACAGATTGATGTTGACCAAATCTTTACCGAAGATCCCTTCCTCGTTCCCTACTGTTTCACGCTGTTTACAAGTTAATTAAAACTGTCCCGCTACGCGCCATTGAGGCGCTTGGGGGAAGACGCAGTGCAGCTCCAACTCGTTCTTGTTCTAGGCACTAAATGTGGATGAGTGGTCAGCGTCACTCCCTGGCTACGATTTAACTCCGCGAAAGGAATACCCGGTACGCAACTGATATGCGTGCTGAATGGACCCCAGAGTTGGTCAGGGCGCAGAGGTCAGAAGAAAGTAAGCTTCGTGGTTTCTTTCTAGAACTCCTTTTTAAGTTATAACAACGGTGTAAATAGTGATCAAACGAAAATATACTCTTCTAACGTCTATTTCCTTTAATAAAGAACAAGCATGTACTGAAACAACATTTGCGTTGCTATTGAATATATGCTACGTGAACAGGTGGCGCGCAAGGACTTAGATATGAATGGTCTGTTACAAAAGGCGTAGTACATGTTCAAACAACTGCTACGTGACTTGAGGTGGGACGTGACAAAACAGTCTTTGGTTCGCTTTAATGAGAACACGTAGCAGAATAAGAGTTAGTTTTTTAATGATATAGGCGCCATGAGTTTTATAATTTTATTACTGCGATGCTGAAAATACGATTTGCCAGTGTCTAATGGGCCTATCGCATCTTCTCTTCCAGGATAGTTTAGAACCCGATGAGGAAATCAAGAATTCCCATGACAGCCAGAGTGACGGGGACACCGAGGACAGGTACGTAAAGTTCGCTGTTCCTAACACCAGACTGAAAGTTATATATACAAGGTGCATCAACTGCTTATGCTTACTTGTTCACATACAATGGAGAATGTCACTTCGCTGTTTCAGTACGTCACATTAAAATCAAGTTTTAGAACCACATCATATGCTCTAAGAAAAGTTATTGTTGCGATATTGTGATATTCGGAAACTACCTGGTATTATTTCTGACTAAAATTTCATTGTTTTTGGCTCAAGCATACATTAGAATTCAAGCACTGCCCAAAATGGTGGCACAATTTTAAGAAATGGACAATGGAAGATGTTAAAATAAAATATCAGAATAAAATCCTACACTGTTCTTCTAATCGAAGATTTGATAACATGGTAAGTTTTATTTATAATGATTTCCCGTTCTGTTCTATATTTTGCGGAGACTGAACGTGAATGAAAGATTTGTACTTTGTACACACACAGTTTCAAAATTCTTCAGAATTTCATAATAAAGATTTAAAAATTCCATATTCGAAACTCCAACATGTAAACGTTTACCGTAACCTAAATTTCGTTAACCGAAACTTAACGAACCTAACCTAACCTAACACGCCTTAACATAAACGAAGCAGAGAATCTAACCTAACCTAACCTAACCTGCCCCAACAAAAACAAACATTCTTAACATACACAAATTCTTCGTCAGATGTCCACTTAGATTAATACGAACCACGGTTATCATAGCAACCACAATGAACATTCAAAGAACTCATAACATTATTCTCCAATGGTCATAATTGTAGAAAGAAATCGTACTTCAGCACTTACCACTCGAACGTCTTTTTGTTATCACCGCTTGTACTGTACAAAAAATACGATTTTGAAGTTGTACAAAACGGCTTAAACTCCGTCCAAATTTCATCCCAATCCGTCAAGTGGTTCTCGAGAAGAATCAGCTGGGAAACACTCGACAAGCATTTCATGCAAAGAACGCATAATAACGAAATAATGTCTATCGAAAAGCAAAATATTTAATAAAGTAAATATCAACATACATAGAAATTTGAATTAAATGTGCTTTGAATTTTATTTTGAATTTCAAACAACACTACTATAATAATAATAAGTAATGTTATGAAACTTGTTTTACTGCAGGTCCAAGGTGAGAACTCCGTCTGGTACAATGTCATCATCAAAACAAATGAACGGGGAACATCTCCCTGTGATGTCTTTTCAAAAGAAACAACAGCAGACGAACGTAATGAAACAAGCTCACTGGTGCAGTTCATGGCCGACAATAGTCTTAACTGTGAATAAATCAGATGACATGACAATTGTTCAGAAGAAGCTACAAGACATCGATAAACTCACTTCGGAAAGGGAAATGTTAGTAATTGGATTGGAGAATTTTGAACATCTCGATGAGAAACTTGAAACAGTGAACGAAGACAAAGCGTTGAAGACTGAGATTGTGAAACTGAATGTTAAAATGGCGGGGCTGATACTACAGCGCCACGATGAAATGAAGAAAACTGAACAAACTATAGAACATCTTAATAAGACCGTTGAAAATATCACGTCTGAAAATCTAAATCTGCGTGTTCTAATGGCGGAGCTGATGCATCGCCAGAACGGTGAAATGAACAAAATGGCGGAAAGTAGAAAATGTCTGAAGGAAAATGTAGTCAGAATGTCGTCTGAAATTGCGACCCTGCGACGTAAAATGGAATGGTTGGCGGACTATCAGCAGAATGACGGGGAAAAAGGCGAGGCTGTAAGAAGACTGATTGAGACTGCAGATAGGATAACGTATGAAAATGATAAGCTGAAGCAGGAAATCGATCGTCTTCGAGACTGCTTTCGAGATGACTCCATCACGAATATCATTAGTGGCGTAGAGGAGGAGTTTCTCAGGGCTACAGACTGCAGGAAAATCAAGGATAAGCAGGTAAGCTATTCCCTTTGAAAGTCCAGGCAGTTTGAACAGAACTTCAAAGAAAATGGCTGTGATGTGCGTCATTGGGCTATGTAATCTGGTGGAAGCAGACCGCAGCTTCAGAAGTACTTATCTTTTGATGGAGGCTGCAGTCACTAATGAAACGTTGCTAATCTTCTACCAGATTTCGCGGTCGTCTTCATACACTCGGCCATGAGAATTTCAAATATTTCGTGAGGAAGGACACGAACGGAAAGTATTACGGATTTAACACGACAGCAAAAGTATTTTGGGTAAAGAAATCGTTTCTAAATAAACCAAGCGTTTTAACGAGTGCATTTGAAAGCAGTCATTCTTAGTTTCTTCCACAACTTGTGAAAGTCAGACACAAATATGTAGAAGCAGCGGAGCGCTTGTTAAAATGACAATGTCTGGTCTGTGAGTTCAAGCGAAAAATCTTCCAGTTTCTTTGCCAGTCATTACAGTTTCACAGACTTCTGGGAAAATTTCAACTTCTTTTGAAGTATATGCGTTATACTAACCAAGAATTTTCATTTATCGTGTTGATTGGTGTTCACCAGAATCTCTTTGGATAGTTATTAGTGCTGGAAAATGTAGGGATAACGATGCTCTGCTGGGTATTGGCGTCATGTGAACTTGCCGGTGGATGCTAACGTTTCGGAAAAGCCCTGAAGATGGAGACAGTACGCTTCTCCGAAACATCAGCATCTACCGACCGCTTCACACGGCGCTAGAACCCACCAAGTAACACCATCAACATTGTCACCGCCGTGATAACCTCAAATTTTACATGAAGGACTTCTTGTAGCGCGTCCTTCGATACGTAAGGACTCGTAGATGGCGGTCGTCCTATTTATCTGTTGTCCACAACTGTTGAACAGCCGAAACGTCACGGTTAGAATTCCGTAACTCTGTCAGTGCGATAACTGCGCATGCGCCGTGTCTGTCGGTGACTAATGCCAGACATTCTCCTCTTTTCCAGGATCGCGCTAAGCTTGGCGACAAGAAGTTCCAGGCCGCCGTCAAAGATGATCAGAAACACCGGGCACTGATCAAGCATCAATTGAACAAGAAACCATTGCAAAAAGGTGAAGAGGTCAAACTAATTAGACCCCCAGGTATGAGCGCTTCTAGGAAACGAGGTATTAATAAACCGCTGCGGCATGAATTGACTCATGAGAGACACGCAATAAGATGTTTGATATCGGGCCACTTCGTTCCTTGTGCCAACAAGACCTGAGCTAATTGGCTTTATAGTCTATTAGTATATTTGTCTATACACATACATTTGTGTTCTATGTAATGGGCAGTTCTCTGTAGCATAACAGATTTAATTTTCGTTATATTGCATGAATTACGTGAACATGCTTACTACTAATTACGTGACGCACTTTGGGAACGTTTGCTATTGACTGAGTATCAACGAAATATGTCAGTGTGGGAGAACAGAGCAATATTTTCATATTCATCATTTTTTATTTCTAAAGCATTCGTCTGTTATAAGAGGAATGGCCGTGAACTGAATTTGTTTATAAACAAATACTTGAGGAAAATGTTTGTTCCTAAGAACAACGAATTAAGAAGGCAAAAAAACATAAATCTTGTCTGGTTATGAAGATCTCTTGGTATACTGGGGGGATTGAAAGGTAGGTTAGGTTAGTTTAGGTTATGTTACACCTGACCGGGCATGTAATTAGGACGTAAGACCGAGGTGGACGTCAGATAATAGAATAAATACGGATTTTAGGAAAATATTTATGTTAGCCTGTAACATGAATGCAACTGGTTCAAGATCGCTTCCTAAGGCAAGCGTCAGTATTTACACTGTTCTATCTTCGGGTTGCAGGCTACTACATGAGAGTTACTTTCAACTAAAGCGATTTGTTTAATATTATCTTCTCCAATTACGCGTATATCTTCTAAGTAATTTTGTTCCCTCTGAATTTTTCAATTATTTCTATTGTTATGTGTTAAGAAATTTCAAATTTTTTCCCTTCCGCAGAACTACCACTGCCCAGACTCACTGGTACCTTCATTGCTCTAAAGTATCTCGAAGTCTTATACATGGCATAAATAATTTTTATTACATTGCTTTTGGTACAATTGAATGCTTGATCGTGAATGCTGTAAAAGGCTGTTTAATTTGACAACTTCAGCGTAGCCCTTATCGGGAAGCTAGTAGTTGCTCAGCCAGCAGTGAAATATCCTGTGTTTCATAAAACTCGATCATTCATAGTCGTGTTCACCAAATCTAAATGCAGTCCCTGTCCTGCACCACACAACTCTCCTTCCTTAAGATCTGTATAATAATATCTTCCGCATCTACGCGTATGAGTCCATTTATCCCCTCAGGATTCCCAAAGAAAAACTTTAAATGCATTTCTTATAGTCCCATCTGTGCTACATGCCCCACACTCCTCATCCTATTTGATTTTGTAAGCCTAATATTAATTATTGAAAGTAATTATGAAGCTCCTCATTACGCAGTTTTCTCCAGTTCCAACGGCTTCATCCCTATCAGCTCCAAATATTTTCCCACGCACCCTGTTCTCAAACACCTCAATCTGTGTTCTTCTCTTTCTGAGAGAGACCAAGTTTCGCACCCACAGAACACAAATGTTCGTATGTTTCAGTAATTAGGTTTTCAGATAACAAACAGAGAGACAAAGAAGTTCCTGATTACAGTTAAACAAACCACGTGGAGATCCTATAGACTTTGATTTCATAGATCGGGATCGATACCACCATTTGAGGCGGTGTTCCTCCCTGATCAAAATGGACAATCCGTTCAGTGGCGAATTACGTCGTTTACTGCATACATTGCTACATTCACTCATGAAGAACAAAGACAGGCCACTTAGATCATGTCTGTAATTGTGATGCTTTGTTACAGTCCGACTTTCTGGGCCTCACCTTCCGAAATTACGGGACTTCAAGCCGCTCATGCGTCTGGGAAAAGGAAGTGAGTACAAATTCTGCTAACTCTCGGCAAAAATGTTATGCATTTTTCTGTCTATAACCAACTAACTTGCTCAGACTTAGAGGTTTAATTGGTGTAGACCCAAACGGTATTCAGTTGAAGAGAATTCTTTGTATCTGAATGTTAACTGAACCGCGTCCGCCTGAAGCCTGTTAACAATGAATTGTGTAGTGACAAAGTCGCTTATTAACGAAATCCTGAATAGAGTTCGTGTGACTTTGACACATAACCTCCAAAGAGGTTTCAAGTACAATTTGAGTTATAATTATGAATGAAATGTCGCAGAGTTAAGTGGAATTACGTCCTGTTCGTGTCACGCTCTAGAGCCGTTAATAGCAGCCTCAGAAAATTACGTGCTCTAATCAATTCGAACGTCAAATGCCATCACCTGTGGCGTGTGCTTCAACTGCCTCTTGAATACTGGGCCCACACGAAACGTGAATTGACAACTTTCTTTTAGAAGATGGCTGCCTTCTGGTTTGTTGCGCCGTGTAGTTTACCGACGTTTCAGAGGTATTTGCTCCCTCCATCATCAGGACAACAAACGAGACGACAGCAATCTTCAGTCTCTCCGCATTCAAAATCTTAAATCCTAAAAATTCTCTTTCAGTCATCAATCTCTGATAGTACAAACAATTCTAACCTTTGTTGAGGTAAAGTTTACAAATATTAGGGCCCTTTGTCAAGCAGATAGCAACGTGAAACCTGACTGTGTCCCTTGAAATTTATTAGGCGGTTCGTTTCAATATCTTGGACATGCCTTCCTCGCCGTATTATGTCCAGTTCTAAATATATTTACATTTAATAAATTTATACTTTTCAGCGTTTGGAAAAGTTGTCCTAGTTAGGAAGAACGGAGGTGTTGATAACGGCGCACTATACGCCATGAAGATGATAAATATCATCGGGAATAAATCACAAGAAAATGATCGTGAACAGTGTAGAACAGAACATGCTGTTCATGAAAGAGTTGCGAACGTTCCGTTCCTAGTGGGACTCTACTACGCCTTCCAGACGAATTCAAATCTGTGCCTGGCCCTTGGTAAGTAGAAGAAAAAAATATTCTTATTTCCACAATGATGAGAGGCGACGTATACAATCCGACTTGGAGGGTCGGCCAGACGAGTGTGAGAGCGGTGTTACAAGAGCAGATCACATTGACAGTACTTTAATTATTACGCATTCTTTGCACGAAGTGCATGGCGGGAACGAATTATGGTTTAATCATGTCTGTACTTCAGTCTATCTGTCAAGTTGATTCCACTCGAGAACCACCGGACGGATTGGGAAAATTTTTTATATAGATACTGTGCCATTCTGCACGACCTCAAAATCGCACTTTTGAATATCCCACAAGCGGTGATGACAAAATTACAAATGAGGAAAGTCGTGAGGTGGACACTGAGGTAGCACGGTCTGGTGGCCGATGAGGAAACTATCAAAGCCTAAGTTTACCATTGCCTATCATTTACTTACGTCGTATGCATATTTATCGTTATGGTGAACATCATCATTTCCTCTCATGGATTAGGCGAATTGCCTGTTCCGGTGTCTAATTTGTTACGTTTCCTTCCATCCTGATCTAGGTCTTCCTATGTATGCCAGCCGGAGAGTAGCTACATGAAATATTTTCAAATAGGGATTCATTATTATTGTTCCAGACTATTATCCAGGCGGCGATTTGCGGACTATGTTAAACTGGAAGAAAAAACTTGCAGAAAGCACAGCTAGACTCTACCTCGCTGAGATAGTCTTGGCCGTAGACCACCTGCATAAGGTAGGCAATCAAACTATCCCAATATAGTAATTTCCAACAAATTCCATAATATGTCTGTGTAAACCCAAGTACGTAAATTGTTCAGCCACAGTAATTTTCCATTTAATTCAATACTTCATTTCTTCACTATAAGTAAAATCATTTTAATTTCTGTAAAATATGTCAAAAGTAATGACAAAGGGTAATTGCATCTCCCATAATTTGGGCTTATTTCTTACAAGTATTTTTTCAGATTTAATTAGCACCACTTTTCATTATTACTGTTGTATTTAATTAGTCGACGACCACTTTCTTCTCTGCAGATCTTGGTTGCAAAAGAACTTCTACAGTATTCATTCTTAACATAAAAATATACATTTTAGGCTAATTCCAAAACGACGTTAGCAGCTGTGGGCTACGTATTTGTTAGCGTTTCCTCTGGACACTAAATACGTATCCCAAAGACCTTTCACAAGATATCAGTTCCAAAACAAATGTTTCTGGAAATTCGTCTTGTTTGTTCACTGCCCTCAGACAATCAGCACATTTTCTTCACGTCAGTTATGAATGACTGTTTACAGCAGAGTCCTAGTGGTGTGTGGGATCCCATGTGTGTCTTGGATTCAAGACTAACCAGATGCAGTGAATGTATCTGTGCGCTTTCTCCCCCTCGCTCTAACGCTGACGAAATTAAAACTCTGCGCAGGATGAGAGTACAGGGCTTCTCCCCGTGCTACCGCCGCTCCATCTGGGGCCTTTATATGAAAGATCTGATTGCAAATGGCAGCCGACAGCCAGGGAACTTAGATGGTTGTATTCGTTAAACATAATTAATAATTCCTTACGAGGTGTCTCAGAAATTCTTCCTGGGTGAGACATCAGATTTTCTGTTCCGACGGCCACTCATACCCACGCACAAAGTGAGTTATTTTCCGAGTAAGGGAATTGAGATAAATCCAAGAATTGACACTTTTGCTTACCCTTCGAGAGGCAACCGGGAGCCGTGGTCGGGCGGTTAACTCTCCTGCAGCGTACGACAGCTTAGCTAGAGCGAGCGACACGTGACAGAAGAGCAAAATAGGGGAACCACATCTCAGTGCCACAGTAACAACGCCACATGTCCCAGTTCTTAAAACCCAATGCTTAAGGAGCTTGTTAATTTTTTTCTTTTAGATTGGAGTAATCCATCGGGACCTTAAACCAGAAAATATACTGATCGACTCTGAAGGTCATATAGCGGTCACGGACTACGGACTGTGCAAAGAATTTCCACCCGACGCAAAGGTACATTTAATATCGACTTTGAATTTTGTTCAGTTTACTTACTTGATGTTTTTTGTATGTGGACCGCTGTCTGTCTGACAGTGCCCTTCATTTGAGGAAAATCCAGGCACAAGAGAGGCCTCGTGTGCCTGAAATTAGACCACACATTTTCAGGCGTTTTCTTTTGTACCAACATTTTATTGAAAGTAAATCTCAATCACGTTCAATCAAGTTCTTAGAGTCTGACGGGGTGAACCGAGAAGTTCAGAACTCTAATAATTATAGCTTTTTAGGAGTTTCATAAACAGTTGCTATTCTTCAATTCAGAAACCATTAACATACTTTGGGGGAAGAATTTCAGTCACAAGTGTTAAAAAATGGCAATACTGGAATGTCAAGGGGATAAAACAAGGGGCAATGTCAGATATTATATTACGAGAAAATATGTAGTTTGTACAGCTCCACACTTATTGTTAGGGCAGTCAAGTTAAGGGCCAGATGTGTAAGGAGAGAAGTAAAGTTACAAAATATACGTGGGGAAAACCTACTGGAAAGTGTCAACTTGGAAAATCAAGAAGCAGAAGGTAATACAGCATTAAGAGATGGATGAGAGAAGTAATTTGTGAAGAATGGGGATAATACATCTGGCTCAGAGCTGTGTCCAGTGGTCGTCATTGTTATTGGCCATGCCCAAAGTTTTGTTTGTGTTTGCTGGAGAGATAATTTCTAGTTGCCTCGTGTCTCAAATTCCTGTAATGTTGCTTTTATTAACAGATATATCATGTTGATGATGTATGTGGCACAAGTGACTACATGGCTCCAGAGATGATTCAACACAAAGGTTACAGCATGGTAAGTACCTTATACCTTTACAGTATAAAGGAAATGATTTCATTGTTTTACGTATAACTTGTGCAATAATTACAATAATCAGAAGGTTTGGAACCAAAAATAGTAACTCCATGTAGTTCATATTGACACGTGCATAAACTGGTTATTTTATGATAGAGGAGGTGGAATAATTAAATTGTATTTGATGCAGACAACTGTCTGTCATCTGCAACGATGACTGATACATATTTGCCGGATAATGGAATTTACAAGACAAGTATTACAGAGGTAAATTAGAAGAATATATCTATATATCTATATATCTATATCTCTTACACTCCTGTCAAGTTCAGGAAAAGTGGAGAAAAGTGAGGCGAATTATGTGGTCAAGAGATAGGCACACCCCTGCATTCTTATTTATGTGGAAGTTTCCTATTTAAGACACCCGCCATTTTGTCTTGTGGCGCTCTGTCTTTTTAGAACAGTATCGGGACACTGTAATTCCATAATTGGCGTGAGGAATTCCTCTAACACTTCAAGGTACACTGTGGCAGTCACATTACATTTGGCAAGAAATGAAGGTTCGGAAACATTTTGTTTCCACAAAGTTCTAGTTTAACTTTGAACAGGTCTTCGTATGTTCAGTAGCTTCTTGAGGATTGCCTTTTTCCTTAAATTCTTAGCTTACATCGATTAACATTTATCGATAAGTAAAATGTGTCTTCATTGGTGAAAACAGAAAGTATGACACAAAAATAGAGGAATAGCAGGCTCTTTTTCACAACTGAACCTTGAAAAAAATGCTTCCATTTGCTTCACCATGTCTGTCTGCCCACATGCAATAGTTTGATAATTTGAAAATTTTTAGAATTTGAAAATTTATAGAATTTGAGAATTTTTAGAATTTGTTAAATATCTTGACTCAGATACTTATGTATCTTAATGTAACATGAAGCAATAGTATGACTATATAATGTAAATTGTAACCAACAGTTAATAAAATTATTTTTAAGGTTCTTAATGAGTCTAGGAATCAAACTGACACCTACGAGGAATAGGTAAATGAAGAAAGAGTACTTATCACACATAGGATTAATTACATATAAACCGGGAGGCAAAACATGGACAATACAATTCATACAAGAATATTTATATTTCTGGTGACCCTCTTAAGTGTGATAGTGCGAAGATTTGAAAATGACTGACTGCAGCTGTTTCCTCCATATTTAATTGTTGCAGGAAGTGGACTGGTGGAGCGTAGGGGTCATCGCGTACGAAATGATGGCTGGGTTCAGACCCTTTGTTATTGCACGCGACGAAAGCATGACGAAACTTTGTCGGTAAGTGTTTTGCGTTTCAGAAGAGATCCATGTATGTGCTCCATGTCAACATAATTTTCCTTTGCACAAAGATAAATCAAATTCAGTTTCTGGCAAAGATACGACTGTCCATTTTAATGACACTAAAGAAAGTTCACACATTTTAAAACCTGAGAAACATAACATCTTTGAAATGTTTATCATAGACCATCTTCCGTACACCTTTTATGACCTAAATCAGAGATTTGCAGGCAAATCAGATACGTCAAAACAAGATAGGAAAGTGCATTCTAAACCGAAACACACACGCTGTTTGTATGATTGTAACATGCTTTTAGAGGTGTTAAGTCCAACACCCACGTCTGCAACCGGGTCGCTGCATCTTAATGTTGAACTCATGGGTTTGCTGGTCCAACATTCTGTTATTGCTGATCATAGAATATTCAAAAGTACAATACAGAGGTAGTGTAGAATGAGACAAAGTCCACAATAAATTTCATCAAAACCTGTCCAGCCGTTGAAGTAGACACGACCAGCCATTTATGCATTCTCCATATGCTCTTTGAGCAAACAACGCTTAAGATTGAATGGCATTATGCACATTGATTTTGAATGTTTGTTTTTGTGGCAAAAAGAAAAATTGATCTTTATTTGCAGAAAAATTGTGCACAAGTTGCCAGCGATCCCTAAGAATTTCACATTCATAGGGTCAAGTTTTGTCAGAGGCCTATTGGAGAAAATGCCATTAAAACGGTTAACATCAGGGAAGACCATCAAGCAGGACATCATGCAGCATCAGTTCTTCAATGTGAGTTCTTTCCCATGTCTGTTATCACAGAATACTAGGCTGTATGTACATGTTTCACTTCTAAACTCTGCCTTGTACACTAAGAGACTGCCCCAAAACGGCAACGAGTACACAATTTTAGACCCTTCAAGCTATTTCTAGATGAATTCATTCTTTCAAAACTTGAGTAAGTGAAAAGTTTGATTTTAATTCCTAGAGAGCAACTCTTGTGTAATAAATGTCATAGGCCAAAGAGTCTGAGGACAGTAAAAGGTTAGGATGAGAGTGCATTATGTACTGTGACATGAAACCTTAAAGGCGTGATGAGGTTTTGTCAAACGTCCCACCCAGCAAATGAAGTATTGTTGAATAACTTAAAGCACAGACTAACATTTATAGCCAAACAGATAACAGCATTTCAAAATTCTTGTACTTTCTGCACAACTGAAGGATCTTTCAAACTGGGGTGTTCTGATTTCTTCCCACAAACGGCATTATCGTCCACATTAGTAAAGCTTGATCTTCTTATTCAACAGGGTATCAACTGGGATAAAGTTGCTAGCAAAAAGCTGAAGATGCCGTATGTTCCACCTTATAACAGCAGCAAAGACGTCCATCCTGTCCAGAATCTGAAAATAGAGCTTCTAGCTCATACAACTGGTTGCAAGAGAGCTGAGGTCAGTACCAATAGTACTCTGACCCTCGTCTTATTATGTGGTGCATAGGAACAAGTGTTATTTTTGGCACTTAAGTTACCTTTAGATCAGACGTTGGAAGCTGAGTTCTACATGGCCTTGAAGGTGTTATAGCAACTAAGAACGTCGAGGTGGTCCTTTGCCAATATTTGAGCATAATATTCATACAGCCACTTTCATGTGGGTTTATAGGAATAAATGGCAGTTTCTGCCAAAATAATGGTCGTCAGGGTAAAATGCAGACACAATAACAACATGAAGGTTGTCAATATATATCGTGACTAAAGAAACAGCCCCAATTTCAGCGTGGAATTTTTTTAAAGTAACCTAACCTAAAATAATGCACTTGCTTATTATCACTGACCAAAATAATTTTCTGAACGTGTCCATAATCAAATAAGAAGACTGTGGCAAAATAAACATAAAGTTCAGTACAAATAAAAAAAGAAGTAATTCGCATCGTAGCAACGACAAGTTTTCACGCTGGGAAAATATCCTTTGTGAGTTCGAGCACGTTCCATTTTCAGAATTTCCTCTTGGAGTACAAAAATAATTGCAAACGCTCAGATTACTTCCTATAAGTCTCTATAATAAAGCCATAGATGTAGGGAATTTCAGTTTGTCTGAACATAATTGTGACATAATGCATATATCATAAAATTGCTACATGACTGATTTAGTAAGACTAAATATTCAGATGCCTCGTCACTAGCTTAGCAAGACATTTACAAGCTGACCTCAGGACACTTATTCATCTGTATTGATTAATGTTATCTGCCACATAATTGAAAACAAACATCTTCATTGCTATTTCTCAATTCTTTGAGCATGTACTTGAGACATATATGTATATTACTTCATTCTCACAGGGATCTTCAGATTCACGAAAGTCATTATTAACCACCGATCACCAGCCTTTCTTTCGGATTGAGGGTGGGGTGTATAGATTAGATTTATCTCTCTCAGGACAGTGTCCAGTGGCTGACTTGTGAACACAATTAAGAGCCTTCCGGTTCCATAAATAATTTATTAGGTTAGCAACAATTAGTCAGTGAGCTGGTCACTCACTACTAATAAATGGACGCTTCAAAGACCATGAAACCTCCAAAAGGAGGCGGCGATGACTCGCTACTGGGCTAAACTATTAATAGAATAGAGCAACTATTAGTTTCTCAGAAAAAGTCTGTTCCCTACAGTCTGTTATATTATCCTAATTAGAAACAAGATAAATCCGTAAATTACAAGAGACTTAACTGAAGAAATTCATTGATGCCACATGAACAAAATAAACATTTACAAATTTACCTCTTCCAAGCGCTTGAAAGAAGACTGGCATAAGAGAATGTAAAAGATTGTGTAAAACTGCATCCCACAAATTTTTAAGTCACTGAACATTCCATCTGTGTGTGGAACAGATTCAAGAAAGATAGGCTTCATATACATGTTTTATGTTAGCAGATCCCATGAGTATTTAGGTTTATTTATGCAACTGATCAGGAATATCAAATCTAAGATTGAGGTACAGGGGAACAGAGATCACTTACAAAAGGTCTGAGTACATAGCGGCACCTCACTGATAGTCTTTTCCCTTAAGAATATGCACATTTGAGGTGATTCATTCCTTCTACCAAGGAATTGTTTTAAGAAAATCTACTGAAAAACCAAGTTGAATATTTGCATAAACATTGAACTCCACGGAGCAGATTCTATTCAAGAAGCTGACAGCATACTCCACTAGTTAGATGATTGGCAGTATGTAACTTTTTTAAACAAGAATTGTTAGCATCCTGTCAAATTCCCAGCTACCCTCCACATCTCCTTCCACTCCAGAGGAAGCACCAGGCGGTGGAGACGAGTGATTGCAGTAACACACGGCTTAATAGACTGGTGTTGGTTATGCGGATCACATTGATCTAACTCAGGGGCAGGTTCACTGATGTACTTTAACATAAGGCATTTTCTACCTTCAGATTCTAATACAATAAAGATACATTTTTAGTTTTTATGGGCGTAGTCTGAGTTCAACCACGAAGATATATTCTTATCACCACGTTCCAACGAAACATTTTTGTATCTTATAAACACCAAATCAAATAAGTTCCTCTGCAAATTAATTTACTTACATGTGACTGTAATCTTTATCGCAGGCATGCTTATATGTAGCACCATCCCTGATTCCAAGCAATGAATAAGGAACAGGAACTTCAAAGGAGTGCCCAAACGAAGTAAGTGATATTATTTTAAGTTGTGACACTTTATTAGAGGTCACGTCTTACAGGCAGATGTGTTGAAAATTAACAAAATTAATGACCATTCCTTTTAGTTTTATTATGGATCAGACTGGTAAAGCTACAGCCGTGTCATAACTTGATTGTCACAATAATATAAACGAATACAGACAAATATGTGACATAAATTTGAAATTAACAGGTTAAGAAAACAACCCATCTCAGACAGTTTGGACACAACTGAATTATCCCCGGAAGCATTAATACGTCGATGTGAAGTGATGTACGTTCTACAAAATGTCAGTGGAGGTTATAGCATATAGTTATGGCATTTCAGCAGGTGGGAATCATGGTGGATGAAGCGGCTCTCGGATGTGTCCTTATCAGAGATTTTTAGTTCTCCAATGTCAACATCACTGCACTGCTGCTTCGCATTTGCTCATGTATCATCTGGTTCGTTCCTTTCTGACCTGACTGCGTTCTCTTTGAATCTTACCACTTTATTGCCCATCACAGAGTAACAAAATAGTCCTCAGGGTCAAGAGGAGCGGTAGTTCAGTCAATGTAGGGTGTGGTTATGCAATGGGCAAAATGAGTGAGGTTATAGAAAATGCACGAGAAGAATTATTATTTGTGAAAATTACTAAACAGCCTATTTAATTTAAACATTCGAATTACCTCAATTAGTTTCAAAATTACATTACATTTAGTGATAATACAGTAACCCCTGTGTATAGAAATTTGGACTGTTTTCAATGTTTTGTTAATTATTCATTTTTCCATATAGAATTTAAAATATTTTGTATCTCAGGATGTAGTGTTATGCTATCTTCTTCCTGGTTCAGTATTCCCAGAATTAGGTCAGTACCTGGTGATTTATAACTATCAACTTCTGTGCTCATAAACAAGGTACTCTGCATGTAGACAAAATTATTTCCGATGATCAGCTTCTTTTTGGCATATACCATCAACAACTTCCAAGATATTCTGACTATAGAAAATGTCGTGGAATCAACTGGGGATTGGGGCGTCAACCTGTCAAAATACCTCAGCCTACGCTGAACAATACATCTCATAGAACGTGAACACACATCCGTGCATGGAATGGGTTTTGAACCCATTACCAAATTTTTTGAATGTTCACGATTTTCACCATAGGCCACGTAGCCTCTGTCATGCGCTGCTTAGTACACAAATTAATGTTCATATTTCGGGTAAACAAAGAAATCCAATTCTCAACAAACGTTTGCCTATTGGAAATGAGTTTGTCACCATCTGAAATTA